TTCTTTTTTAAAGTTATTGAAGGTTATATGGTAAAACTGGTTCATATCTCTCCACCATGACTGAAATTGTTCATTTGGGATTTGGGCTAGAATTGATGGGGAAATTTTGACACTTGCTTTATTGCATATTTCTTTTTAGAAGCGTGGGATATTGATTTATTCAGGTCTTCTTTTAAATCTTCCTGCAGATGGTCTTACACTTTCATACTGATGTTGCTTTTAAAGGCTCTGATATAGCCTCTTTAACTTCTCTCTACTCCTGCCCTGCAGCAATCCGGGCACAGAGTCTAACGAACACCCTGTGGCTTCTGCTTCTTAGAGAAGCTCCTAGGCTTACTCTTTTCCTCCCACCTCTATGAATCAGAAGAGGGCCTGTCCCAGCTGACTCACAATGGCAGAGCAGCCTTGAGCAGCTCTGGGCTGTGGCAGAGGGGAGTGCAGGGGACAACAGTTGAAGTATTCCTTGTGGGACCCCAAGAAAGACAGCTATTTAGAGCTGCCGCTTCTTGGCTTGGTTTGCTAAGTGGTTTTTTTCCTACTTTTAGTAGAGCCGGGCACGGAGGGCCCATGAGAAGTAAAACCTGATGATTGAGTGACTGGTGCACAGGGAATGGAGCATCTTTTTTTCAGGCTGTGGGGTCTCTCCACCTGCTGGTTATGTCACAGCCATGGATCACTTCTTTGGCAGGTGGTTACTAATACTCCAGGAAAAAAATCATCTCTAATAATACCTCTGCCTAAAACAGGGACTTGTGGGCTACTTAGGGAAATTGGGGATGTGTTCTCTAAATGTCATATGACAAATTTAGAAGCAAACGTGGAACACAATTCCTTCCTAAGTTGGGAACTGTCTGTTCTTATGAAATCCATCTCTTGCAGTAATTGACAGTGATACATCGAGGAGACCTCATGGACTGCAGTTGACACCTGGCGGGTAAGCACCTACCCTAGTGAGTGAGCTGGTTGACTATAGCTGTGGCTTGTTTATGGACTTCCGTTAGTCTCTTGAGAGTGTATAACTTCATCACCTACAATGGCTCCCAGCAGTTGAACAGGACTTTTCAGAGATTTACTCAAAATGCAGGTCTTTAAAATCAAAGGGCTGGGTGGATTTAGCTGACTTATTTTTATTATACCTCCGTGTGGGGATCATCCAAGAAATGATGAAGCAAATAAAACAGTGACAGGGAGGAGATTTTAGAAGTATTTTTTAGCCTCCACCCTTGCGTTGAGCCACACAGTCTTATGTGCTGTATGTAGCATGCTCTTCTCTAGAATGTGGGTGTATTCAGATTTATTTGAAATGGTAATTTCAGTGCCTCATTTGGAATTTGGTCTCAGAGAGCTTTGTTGTCAAAATAATCAATTCTCACAGAATGCAATGGACTGGACACCTGGAGAACCACCCACTCTAAGTAAGGCGCGTGCAGGCTGGGGGCAGACTGAACTGACCTGCGTGGTCTATATTGTGCATGCTCACCCATGGACCACAGGTTATAACCCTGACTCACATTCGTACCAGGAGTGCAACCACCTCAGAGAAAGTCAGTCAGGAGCCCTGGGCTGGGCTGCAGGCATCGCTGGGTTATGCCCCAGGTCATTTTAATGTGCAGCCAGTGGTGAGAACACTGATACAGAGTAGGCATGGCCATGAGGCCAGTTTTAACAAAGCATCCACACAGAGTAGAGTTTAGTTCATAATATAAAGTAGTAGCCTCCCTTTAGTATAGGGAAGTTGCCTGCACCTCTAGCTTTTCGTTTAGGAGACAAAGACCTCGTGCATATGTCCGCATGTGACACTCAGTGCTCCTTCTGCTTTCTTGCTCCACCCCCTTAGCTCAGACCTGCACCATCTCTCTAGGCTCGTGGACCCTCCGGGCCTCTGCAAGCACTATTCTCATTTCTCTCACACTCAAAACATGTCATTTACAGCTTCCTGCCATCTGGAAAAACCTCAATGTCCTCAGCTGGGCAGCTAAGGCCTTTTGGGATGAGGCTGGAGAGTGAGTCATCAGGCCACGAAGTCCCACATGTCCCTTGAATGACTGTTGTCATCTCTGGCTTCTAAGCCTTTGCCTGGATGGCCTGTTACGTCACCCCATCCTGCTGGAAGTCCCCATTCAGCCCTCAGTTTTCCAGTGGAACCTTCTCTCATCTTCCTGCTTCCCATTCTTCATCCCTAGGTCTTTCCTGCCTCTGCCAAAGCAATGACCTGGTAACTCTTGCATGTCTGGAAGATACTCCAAAAAATCACTAGATTAGCAAATAAATTTCTCCTGTCAACTACCAAAATTGTGAGGCTATTAGGTTCTGTGCTTTCTCTAAGGACATCAGGTAACATGGCATATTGAAAAAGCTTTGAGATAAAATTTGGGCTTAAAACTTTGTTCTATCACTTGCTAGCTGTGGGATCTTGGGCAAGTGTAACTGTTCCTTGGCTGTGAAAGGAGGATGACAATGCTTGAAGGGATTGTGGTGACTCGATACAATGTGTATAGGGTCAGGTACACAACAGGTGAGCAAATAATCTTTCCACTGACCCTAAGTTTACAGGTACTCGGAAAACATTCATGAGCTAACAGCCCAACAGAATGCTTTGGTTCTGGGTTGTTTCCAAATGGCCAAATAGCTTTGTTTCATATAAATGTTTACCTACTATTAATTCTTCAAACACCCCTTTGGATTACTATTCTCACTTTATAGCCAAGAAAACTGGAGCAAAGAGAAGGGAATGGAGTTCCCTTTGGGAAAGAGCCGGGACTATTCAGAAATCTGCCACTACTTTAAAAAGTTAAAGCCAATATTCCAAATGATAACTGTTTGAAAGGTCTGAGTTAAAGTAGTTATTTGTCTATAAAATTTATGCTAAAACATAAGATTCCTTCCAGCCCCACACTGGAATGAACAGTGGCCGATCACCGTGACTTCTCGGGACCTGGATCCCTCATGTCTAAGTAGACAGTAATGACAAACCGTGAGGACGGAACACACTAACAGGCCACTCTAAGGTCCCGACATGGGGCCGCAGCCGGCAGCACTCAGTGTCAGCGGTCATCCTCACCATGAGGGACATTTTGCTTGGAATTTTATCACAAGGGACCTTTGGGTTGACCTTTAATGTGCTCCACTGTGGCACAGAGGAACAACAGAAATTAGGTTCGAGGCATCCTTCTTGAGAATTTTAGTAATAAAAGACACCTTTAAAGGCAAAAACAAAGTAACTTTATTGACTGCTAATCTTAACCATGAAATGCTGATAAGAAATAATTACAAAACAATGCGGGTTTTTTACATACATTTGGTATCATGCCGATATGATCCTTTCACAGAAAGGATTATTTACAATTTATGTAGATATAAAGCTCATTCTTGCAAATACAAATGTAAATGATGTAGAGGCAATATATACCAAATCGGTATGCTAACAAAGGATATGTAACAAATGCAGAATAAATAACAGCTTTATACTTTTATTCTCCTTTATTTTTAAAAACTATTTCCGAATACAAAAATGTAGATTCAAAGTGGATTTTCATACACACACACACACACACACACACGCACGCACGCACACACATGCACACACACAATTCTGCTGCAAACAGTAGGCCAAAAAGAAAAGAAAAGTTTCCTGGCATGTTTCTTTTTTGAAAACCCACAAGACTATTCATAAATCCAATTAGAAAGAGGGTGTGCAAAACCACCAATGCTGGCAAAATCCTGAAGACATGATTTTGGCTGAAGTAGAGAAAAAGTATAAAGCGCTACCTGTTCATTTAAATACTTTTTATGTTTTGCAAGAAATACTAAGGGCTAAGAAAATACACGGCATTATGATCTGGGCTTTTTAGAGAACCAGCACACCAAGATTTGTCTCTTAAGCATCAGGCAGTGATGGCAAACCTTTTAGAGCTTTCAATGATACAAACAGCCCGCTGCGGCATGCAAGCTGTAGGTTCGCCAGCACTGGTCTGTAAGAAATAATGGATTATTTAATGACTGAGAAGGAAGTCATTAAATGATCCCTTCATATGTTTATCTTTCTCTACAGAGTGAGACACTTCTGTACATTCTGATATCTGAAACTTTGGTTGTTTATTAAAGCATTTACTAAAAGCAAAATAATTTCATGAAGGCAGAACTATGCAGAACTTTTTCTTTGAAAGCATCAGGTGATAGACTCCCCGGATGCTGTCCGCCCCGAGCGCACAGTTGGGCGGGGTCACCGCCGCCTCCGTTCAGAACCCGACTCCCATCCGCGGGGGACACGGCGTGCAACCTGCTCTACCCTACATTTATTTCTTGGTACCTAAAAACATACTTTTGTACAAAAATATGAGTGTTTCTTTAGAAAATAATACATAGTTTTTAATAAAACCCGGCAGATAGCAAAAATGGTGTATCAAAATATGGTAAACAAATGCTGCAAAGTATGAAATCATTAAAAACATCCCGTAGAAAGACATTGTGCTATGAACTTCTGCCGTGAAGTGCGAGCAGCGTTTTCACTGTACAGCAAAAGGCGAATGAGTTCATTCCCTTGACTTGGTTTCGTCGTGCATTGTAACAGCAGTTACCATCTTAAAAACGGCCCTTTCTCATACACATCTTCTGCAGACTTTTACTTCAAAATTAACAAAACGACACCCTGCGGATCTGTGGTTTTCAACCCTGTTGAGTATTAGCTCCATGTAGAAAACTTTAAAAGAAAAGGGAATTCCACCAGGGTCCTGCCCGTAAGAGACTGATTTAGCTGATCCGGGGTGGGACCCCGGCACTGTTACTTTGAAAAGCCCCTCAAAGAACTCTATTATGCACTCAGACTGAGGATCATGGCCAAAGGCACATGAGGAGAAAGTCACTCTTAATGTACACTATAGAAACTGATTATCTAGGCAGCATTCATCCAGCGATGTCTCCTCCACACTGAACAAAGAATTCTCTGTATGCAACACAGTCATGGGAGCAAAAACGAAGTTAGTAAGCTGTAAACACATATAAACATGCACAAGTCCATGTATTTATATATGTATAACATACAGAGTTAGGGTATTTTGGTTAAGCAGAAACTAGTATTACCATAACTTGTTCTTGTTAATTAAAAAAACCACAAAAAGGGCTGGGGATTTAGCTCAGTGGTTCCGGTGCCTGCCTCGCAAGCACAAGGTCCTGAGTTCGATCCCTGGTACCAAAAAAACCAAAACAACAAAAAACAAAAAACCCCCACAACAACAATCCAAACAATTTTCTGAGAGCTTTCCATTGTTTTAACAGACACTAGTTTGTAAACTCTACAAAACGAATTATGTCATGAGCTTAACTGATCTGTCATGCAGATGAGGAACTCAGCTGAGCCCAAGAGCTTTCTGGAAGAGGATGTCAAGGGGTCACAAGACATCACAACACATATAGTCTTCTGGTTATTGCTTAAGTTGCATCGTTTTGTCTCTGAGCACATGCCCCTGTTCTGTACATCTTTGGCTTGCTACAATAATGAGTTTGATCATTTTGCTAGTGTTTACTTTGGGACAGCCTCAGGGAGGCAGCAATGGCTATACACCAAGCCATGCTGCCTCCATTCAAAGAAGAGAGACCCTTCCCTTTGTCCTCTCTCAAACCATGAACATTTCAGGAGGGAGGGCTTAAAAAAATGTATAAGCAAACAGATAAGCTTAACATCTTTCATGTGATAAAAAGATGTTATGTTTAACTGAAGTAAGAAACAAAAATAAGTAACAAAATACCACATTCCACCAGTCCAAAGGCTTCAAACCAGTAAAGCACATTTTCTTCCAAAGAGTCAATGCATGGGCACTTGTCTTGCTGTACATTCTCTAGTTTTTACCTTTGCATAATACTTAAAGTGCAATTGTCCCAAGGCTTTTGTTTCCATCACAAATATTATAAAGAAAGAGCTATGTTTGGGGTAAAGACAATATGGCACAAGTAATACGTAAAGAACCCAAGACTCCTGCAGCCTCTGGCAAACAGCAGGTTATCCTGGAGGCTGGGGGCAGATGGACTTTATACAACAAACTCTGGAACCTCATCACGTGTGAGGTCCAGAGAAAAGTATTTGCTGGTTCTTTTGACTGGAAAAGCATCTTGAATGTTAATGCACTGTTGTGCCAGGCAACTGTTGCAGTAGAGCCCTTCTGCATCCAGTTCATGGCCACATCCGAAGGTGTAACTCTGAGCAGTGTCCTGACACAGGCCTGCGATGCGCAAGAAGTCTTTCTGGCAAAGTCTGATGTCATCAAGACTCAAGCTATGTCGATCGGTGGAGGTCTTTGGTTTTCGACATACAGTCTGCAAAACAAGGGATGGATGAGACAACTCTGAGAGCACAGATTAAGTGACGGTTGACATATCTGCCCTGCAAAGAGAGACTGCAAAGCCATAAATGGTAAAGTCATCCTTTTATGTAAGAAAGTGGTTTGTGGGCTGCTGAGAGCTGGTGGGAAATATGTCCCCACCCTATCACTGAAAGCAAGAGCAGCTGGCATTTTCTGAGCACTTACTACCCCATGCCAGGGATGACCCAAGCCTTGGCATACCCTAACCCACCCAGGGTGGTGAACTATGCATTGTGTTGTTTTTCTTTTAAGACAAAAGATGTTAATGTATGAGTTGTTTTTTTCTAAACTAAAACCTCAGTATTCAGGTTTAATTGCAGTTTGTGATAAATAAGTGGGCCTTGGGTTGTGGTTTGGGTGCTCAGGCCATCACTGTGCTAACCTATTCAATCTTCCAAACAGCCCTCTGAGGCTGGTGCTCATATGCTCACCAGTTCAGAGAGACAACCCACGGCACAGAGGTACAAATTCAGTGGGAATCCAACTATCCCTTCATTTCAGAGACTGACAAATTATCTTAAAATAAGTCCATAAAGGTAAAGATATTATTTTTTTCACTACGATATGGTAATTCAATGCACCAATAACTCTTATGCTGAAGGTTATTTAAATTAAAAAAATGGAAAACCAAACCAGTTCCCCTTCAAAAAGTGCAGTCTGAAGGATTTTTAGAGCCATAACTCTCGGGGAGAGTATAAAGGCTCGAGGTGAGGAGGCACGGAGGCCAGAGCCAGGAGTAGGGGCAGCTCCTGGATGCGCACAGGGGCCGCGAGCTCCACACATCAGGCCCTGGACTTCTGGAACTCAGTACCCCCTGCAGAGGTGGAAGACCGAATTAGGTTCAAAACTATTCTGACCATAAATGAGTACCATATTTAGGGAACATAAACATTGTATCTCTAACTTTTGTTGCTCAGCACTACAACAGCTTTGTTAGAATAAAGGATCACTAGTGCTAGAGATGGAAGTTGCAGGACTGTTGCTAGGAAGTGTCCCATCTGAGTGACACTGCGTGGGATCACCCTTGACCCATGCAGTCTTCCCAGCCTCAAGGGGACTTCACACCCAGAGCCTCACGTGTGCACACAAATACCCTTCCTCGCTGCTGCACATGTGGAACCTGCTTCTTAGCTGGGCCCTCGGCCAGTTCTGTACGGCAGAATTAATGGAGGGTGGCAGAGCTGGGGCGCAGCCTAGGGGTCTCACTCTGGAGCTCCGACTCCAATTGGTCATGTGACACACACTTTTTAAAAGAGTACTTAGAATTTTCGGAAAAATATTTAATGTCATTTTCATTATGGCTACTTCAGTGGAAGGAAAAGAAAGGAAAAATTAGAGAAAAGGGAAGCAAGGATAAAAAGTAGAAGACAAGGAGTCATCATGCCAGAGAAAGAAAGAAAGAAACAAAGAAAGGAAGGAAGGAAGGAAGGAAGGAAGGAAGGAAGGGAGGAAGGGAGGGAGAAAGAAAAGAAAAGAAAAGAAAAGAAAAAAGCAGCAGCACAGAGAGAGCCCAAGAAAGAGAAGAAAGGAGGGAGACAGTGCTTGGAAAACAGCACGAGTGTCCTCAGCAGATAAAATCTGAATGCTAAAACTATGGGTTTCAGGATATTTCATCTATAGCTTTTGTTATTTTAATAGTTTAACCAGTGATCACAGATTGTCAAATGCTCTAGCTCAGCACACTTTGAAAAATCTGATCTGAACGGAATAACCACAGTGTGGGAACATTTCTGCCATCACACACCTATCAAGAACATTACTCTTCCTGGTTGTAGAGGTCATTTACCTGCCTCCATGCATTCGTGTACCATGCTTGTTCGTGCACATGTACACAATGAATCTAAAGCCTGAACACCAGAGGTTTCTACATATACAAAATGCGGACAAAGTATACAGATTACCCAAATGAAAACCAAAGTGGAATTAGCAAACAAAACAAATTCAGAAAACATGAATGTATGTATCTGAAAACAATCACCTCCTCGGGTAAATTTTTTGCTCATTTGTGTAAAAATAAATGTAAGTTCCCATTTAAAATTTCCTATAACTCTGGTTGCTATGTAAAATTTTCTGTTCCTTCAGTACCTGTGGAAGGGAATCAGTACTCTGGCCACGAAGTTTGACCACTGTTTCTGAAGAGCTGGAGGTGGAAGAACCGATTTCTTTCACAATCAACCCTGAGGTAAAACACAGAGAAGAAAACAATGAACATTTCAAATAATTCACACCTCTTGCCATGCATCCCACTCCCAGGACTTGCAAACCAAAAGTAACCACTCCCGAGGAGTCGCACTGGCGCTGTGCCCCTTCAGTGCCTGACAACCAGCATGGCGCACTTTGTCTGGCAGGAAATCCAGGGTCCTGATGGAATGTGGAGCTAGAGTGGAGGAAGTTTAGTTTGCATTTTATAAAATTTTTAAGTAAGCTATTCATGATGAAGTTAGAAAGGACTGGAGCTATAAAGCCACCTTTTTATAATATCTCATAAAGTCCCCTTCCTCTTTTGCCATGTATTCCCAGCGACACAGCATTGGAGCTTAGGTGTGGTGCCTCTGGAGTCAAACTTGGGATGGAACCTGGCCCAGGTAATTAATTAGCTTTGTGTCCTGGCCAGTTGTCAGCCTCCCTGTCTCCGTCCCCTCCTCTTTTAAAATGGGGCTGATGACAGCACCTACTCCTAGTGTTTAATGATGATTAAAAGGTGCATGCATGAAGATGAGCAGGAATTCCTCCTGGCAAACAGAGCCACTGGGGTGCATACCTCCCGCACCAGGTCCCATAGGGAGAGACCCAAAGGGGAGGCCACAGTGAGACTTCAGCGCTGAGTCCCAGACATCAGTACAGCCCTGAATCACCTTGGCACCCAGGGAAAATCTGTTAAATTTTCAGGAGCAGAAATCCAGGGCTGACATTTCCCTTTATGACTGTGGCATGTGAGTGAAGTTCCTCGAGAAAAGCTGTTTCAGACGCTAAAATTACCAACTAGAACTGGAGATGTAAGTGAACACTGCTGAAATTTCTCTTGCCAATAAATGAAGCAAGTGAGTAGGTCAAGCCCTAGATCCACAAGCCAAACGGCTTCTCAGGAAAAGCACATCTTCACCTTACAAAGAAAGAACCTGGGTAGAAAGAACCTGATTTTTATTCAACTGCTGTTAGCCTATAGAAATGACCTTTCCTGTCCTTGCCCATAACTCTCCAGACATGTCTCATAGTGATTCAGAGTCTAGTACATGTGAAGAGCTCAATGGGGGGGGGGGCTCCTTGGGGACTTCCTGTCATGCCTGCGATAGATTTCTTTCTCCTTAATAGCCGCTACATATAATGGCTGCCTTCTCCTTTCCATAATGCCCCACTTCCTGCCACAAGCTCCCCTTCTTCCCACAATCCACTGCATTCTTGCTTAAAACCCAACCCCAAGATGGCTTCCTTCCCACCCAAATTGGTTTTCTTCTTCTGATGATGCAGTGTTTTCCGCCTAAATCTAGCCCTCAAAATGGCTTCTCCCACCAAGAGACAACCTTCTTCTTCCCAACATACCCCTCTTCCCGCCAAAAGAGTAACCTGATACTCGCTCCCTTCCTGGCAAGTAGTGATGTCACAAGTTCCTCCAATCCCTTGGTGACATGCCTTGTAGACCCCCCAATCCCTCACCGTCATACCTCCCAATCCCCACCCAACCTCTATAAAGGTGCTCCAGCCCCTGCCACAAAGCTGCACCCTTTGTTCAGAGGTAGCCTGGCAGATTATCCCTTCTCCTTAATAAAGGCTTGTTGTGGTACTAGTCTGGTCTTGGTTTTCAGCTCCTTTACCTGACAATCTGTAAAGACTTCTCCAAAGCCCACACCCACCACTGCAAAGTCAGAATGAAGCTCGTGCTCAAAACCCAGAACCACCCAGCTCCTCACTCTCAACCAGGAAGGAGCAAGCGCCCTGCTCAGCCTCAGCTCAGGGTCTGAAAACAGAGTGAACTTGGAAAGCTAGGATGGTGCATGAAAGAGGATACAGTCATGCGGAAGTCTATCTCCAGAGAAAAGGCTGCTCATAATTTTATGTATTTTCTCCTTTCCATATAAGCATGTTTATTTTTAATTAGATCATACTTTTATATAATTTGTACTGTTTTCCTTATGTATCTTTCATATTACTAATTATTCTTAGAAAATTACATGTTAATGGCTATATAACATCCCTCTGTATGAACAGAATACAATTTAACCTTTCATTGTTCTTTTCCTTTTCTGCTATTATAAATAACATTTAATATATTTTATGTATATATATTTTTAAATAGTCACCTTATTCTTATTCCTATTTAATATTATAAAATTGATAATCTTACAAAAACTGAATGCAGAAATATACAAAATACAAAATGCTGCCCTCAGAACCCCCTTCCACAGGTGCTTAGGTGGACCCCGTGGAAGCCATTGGCTTAGATCCTGGGAGAACTCTCATTGGACACTGTAGGCTCATTTTCCTCCCATAAGCATATGAAGAGCTACCCATGCACTATGATGTGTAAGTGCGCATTTGTATTTGATATACATTGAAATGCATTTGTAAAGAGAAACTTTCATGCAACAAAGCATACAGGTGGAAGAGGCAATGCCTGGCACATCAATGCCAAGCATGTCTGGATCGCCTGGCCTGAGGAGTCCTTGCAGGTGGGGGACAGGGGCGGTGACAGTGACTCTGTGATCCGGGGCAGGTCCACTCCCGCAGCTCAAGGTACGGCTGTTCCTGCACAAGAGGGACTGTGTGTGTCAGTCTTGTTCCCTCTGATTCTCAGGCAGGACCTGCACTCGGCAGAGGCTCAGTGAGCACCAGGCTATGGGTCTGACAAGGCCAGGACAGGCCACCCTGGTGGTGGTCACAGGCCTTTCACCCAATCAAGCTGCAAGTGGCAGGACAACTGGCACTCACGCCACTTCAACGGTGCTTCTCTGGACCAGACTACCTCGTGAGACACGACAAACACAGACAGACGTGACCAAGGTTTAGAAACAAACCCACACTGCCTTTTTAAGACACTGTCTTTCATACCGTAAAACACACATTATACAACCCTACAATAGGGTGACAGTGAATGCATGTTTTCCACAAGAATTCATAAAAATACAGAATTTAAGAGTGTATATCTAAATGGACACACATCGAGGTGAAATAAACAGGAAACACATGTGTAAATACCGAATAGTTTCTCTAGGGTGGGAAACTGAAAGTGTAAATAAGGACTAAAAGGTATAATAGATAATGTGAAACAAGAAGAAAAGGGGCAAAGGGGAAGGGGAAGTGGAAGGGGTAGGGGAAAGGAAAGAAGGGAATGGAATTAATACGAGAAAAGGAAAAAATGGAAACAAAGCCTTTGTAAATAGGGAGGGATGGAGGGGTTGAAGGGAGAGCAGGGGAAGGGGGGAAAAATAAGAACCAAGAGAGATTATGTAAAGGTGCAAATTTCCAATTCTCAATGTCATTATATTGTACACCTAAAATATACCAATAAAATAACAATAATAATAATAATAATAAAGTATCTTTTTAGGTCAACCCTTCTTGGCACTTTCTCCTCCTGACTCATATATATATATATTAGTATAATATCCCAGGGAAAACAAAAGAAACCAAGCCTGGAGGTCTGGCTTTGTTCCTGGCCAGGTGACCCTTGTCTCTCTAATCTGTAGGTTTTTTCATCTGTAAAAAGGGTAAAGGCAGACTGAGGGGTCTCTAAGGCCTCTTTCAGAGGCATCATGATTCTCCAGTTTTCTGATTTTAAAAGAGCAGAAGTAAAACTACACTGTTCACAATTACCTTCTGTGCAAACCATGTAGAAGATGCTACCTCCCCTTCTTGGCGGCACTTTCTTCTGTGGAGGGCACTTAGCCTGCAGCTCAGGATGGTGACCCGGAGTGGCCCTCCTTCCAGGCTGCCGCTGATCTAGAGCCACACCCACCCCTTCTATTTTCTGAGCCCCCTGCTTCTTGGTCCAGGATAGCCCACTACTCAGGGAATATGTCCCAAAGTGCTCACCGGAGTGTCCATTCAGCTTCCTGGACAGGAGCATGTCCTCTGTGATATAGATGCACATGTCTGGGCTGACTTCCAGAGAGTCTTCATTCACTGGCTCCAGGTCTCTGGGGTCATCCACCAACATCTCAATTTCTGATCAAGAGAAAGAAAAAGACAGTTAAGGACATGGAGAAAGGACAACCATAACCCACAGCCACACTCTGAGCATGGACATATAATTATTCATATTTGAAAACAAGTCTGCTAATGAGACTAATAGGAGACTCGAGGGACAGTTCTTAGCCAGAGGCTACTTGTTCTCTTTTCATAATATTGCTGTTACCCACATAGCCTCTAACGCCATGATCTGGTTATCAATTATTCCTTATTCTTGAAGAGAGAAAAGAAGCTGTACAACCCCTTGGCAATACCAAGGACAAACAGAAGCTGATGGGCCGTTTACCTATGGTCAAATCAAGGACTACTGACACCGGCAGGATGAGGAGGTCCCGAAGCTCCCGTTTCCCAGGCTGCTACTCTCAGGGCACCTGGTGGCTTGCTTTGATAGCCACCCAAATTCTACAGGAACCAAGCATGTTCTGCAGTTTTCACCAAACCTGAATGCTAGAGACTTACCAGGGACAGAGAAAAGTGTAAGAGGGACACTGAGGGCTGTGTGGCTGACACAGGCCATGGAACTTGTCTTATTTCCATAAGTGCCTAAGTTCCCGGGTGCCAGTGCCAGCCACAGTCCTGACTGCATGGGAGGCACCTAAGAAACACCTTACTAATTCACTGAATGTCATGGGTTTGAATCTTTTTTAGGGGAAGAGGCAGAATTCTGTTTAAGCTGTTTCTGTCACTACTGCTGCACTCCTCTCTGTTGTCCCAGCTGCCGCCTTATTTGACCTGGGAGTGGGAAGTGCAGGTAGGAGGGCTACAGGAGTAACCTCCCGCTCCTGGATGGCTCCTCAGGCTCCTGCGCCATACCCTGCTCACAGCCAAGTGCTAGCAAGTCCCCCAAGCCACTGTGGAGGGCAACAAGGCCCTCTTCTCTAAGACCACTACTCAGCTGCTGCCCAGGCACCAATTCTACACAACCAAGATTGCAGAAAATGAAGAGAGCTAGCAATGGGACAGTATTGCTACCGTCGTCCTGCGAGTCCTCCTCCAGTCGGTCTTTGCCGCCGCTCTCTACCCCCGAGGTGTGGGAGCTGCCATGGCTGGTCATTGAGCTGCAGGTCTTCAGCTTGCGGTGGATGGCGCTGCCGGAGTAGCTGTCGTCGGGCCCCGGGTCCCGGGGCTTGGTGTCCGCCTCGATGCCCGAGGTGTGGGAGCTGCTGTGGCTGGCGGTAGAGTGCCGGGACAGGCGCTTGTGCTTCATGCTGCCCGAGCTGCTCCCGCTGGCCCGAGACCGCTTCTCCAGCTGGTCCATGTCGAGGTCCAGGTTGTCACTGATGTATGATTCCCGGTACTGCTTCTTCTCTGTGTGGTGAGAACACAGCTCATCACCACACTGCGCCAAGACAGAGGGACCTCGGGCTGGCTCAAGGGAGTCATCAGGCCAGGACCATGGGCAATTTCATTCTGCACCTAGTGACCTGACACTGGGTGACTCAGAGAAGATGACTACAAAATGGATGAAAACCAGTACAATGCACTTGAGGGGAGAATTCAAACCACTCGGGCTGTGAAGCTTCAAGCACTATAGAAGAGAGCTGCTCAAAGTGCGGTCACAGGCCATTTCCTGTCTGCGCACTGTTACCATTCTCAGTGAAGTAGGTGCAGTGACTGAGAACATTTAAATACTCCCAGAACTGTGTGACACTGGGTGACAGCCACGTGGGTGAGTTTGTATTTTGCAGAAGTATCAGTCCACACTATTTTATTCAAAAATCTGGTCCTTCTCCACAGATAATTTCAGAAGCATTGCTACTTAATAAACAATTACCCTGACTGCCATCCATTTTACTAGTTTGGTAAATTTTGTCCATTGTTAGCTCCAGTTACTGAGAATAATTTAAAACCATTCTGAAAATTTCTTTCAAAGATCTAAAATTTAACTTTCCATTAATATATAAAAGTTTTTCTCCATTTAGGCTGAATTAGTGAGCTTTTATCATCTGTTTAGAAAACACAGTAATCACAAGCAGTTTGATGATTTATACTCATGTGGCCTTTGGCTGGTAAAACTGTCCTTTAATCTAACATGTCAACATTGCTCTTCAGTGCAGCCAGACAGACACTGGGACGCCCCTTATATTAAACATTATACAAGTCATTACATTAGGGTACAAAGTTATAGTTGAGCTGCAGGTGTAGAACTGATGATATAAGAACATTATTTTTGTATTTCAACTCAGAAAATTAAAAGAAACAGTTTAGCTTTCTTGTTTCCTTAATACTGTGGAGAAATAACACATTAGACCAATGTTAAAAACAGACAGTCCTGGGCGGGGTATTTAGCTCAGTGGCACTGCGCCTGCCTTGCAAGCGCAAGGTCTTCGGTTCAATCCCTGGTACTGAAAAACAAAAACAAAAACAAAACAAAAAAAAACAGACAGTGCATTTGGGGAATGTGAAGTTGCTGTTATTTAGAAACTGCTAACTAGTACCTGAGCTGGGGTCTCAGGAGCCTGCTCATGGACTGTCTTGTTCTGTGGTTAGGTGGAAATATTCTTGCATAGTTCTTATGTCTGAAGCCAGCCCTGAAGTGTGACCACCAGAGGCTCCCCAGAGGGAATGGGTAACAGAAGACAGACAAGATGTGCTTTCCAGGATGCAAAATGCAAAATGCAAAATGCAAAACAAACCCAAACCCCTCAGATAAGGCCAAGGAAACACTTGAGGCTCTGGCCCAATCCATTGGGTCTACACATTTGGGTGAAACATGGAGGCAAATATGTGCAGACACTCAGCCAGCCAGAAAAGGCCCATAACACACCGGACATGTGTCCATTTACAGCCCATCTTCCAGGGAGCAGATGGCACTGATGACTCCTGTCTTCTGAGGTCAACAGGAGCACAGATGGAGATGGAGAGCCAGAGGGGCTCCCAAAATTCTCACGCAGTTTCTATTCACTGTAATTTCACACTGATAACCACGCGTCTCTTGGAAGCGTGGAAGAGAGGAGAAAGAAGTAACACGTTTCTGTAAGGTGCTGGAGCTCTACAGTCCTAAGACAATGAGGAATCACTATGGGCCTAATATTTCAATGCTTCTCTATGTCTTTGTAAAGAGCCCTTTCCTCCCAACTTCCCGATAGGTTCTGACCAGTTACAGGTCCTCTATACTTGGGAGCATGCTCAGGAGAAGGCTGTGCCCACTGGCCCGCTTCCTGGCGCGTAGGCCCTCACTGTGAACCAGCCCTGCTGCTCTACTTAGGAAGCTCCACTCCAGTACAACTGAGCCAATGCTGGCTCAGAAAAACTAGGCTTAAGGTTTTCTTCAGACCTGAAAATATGTCTAAATAGAAAAAACTGTTTGCTTTGGAAGAGAAAAAAACCCCCAGATGTCCCCAAATCTCCACTCATCCAAATAAAAGATCCAATTTATATCTTTATTATTCCCTCACTCTCTTATTGTTAGGTTCGAATGTTTGTCCCCTCTCAAATGCAAGATGAAATTTCACTTGTATTGTAATGGTATGAAGACAAGGGATCATTAAGAGGTGAGATTAGGTGAGGAGGCCCAGCCCTCATGAAAGGATCAATACCATTAAAACAGGAGTGAGTTTGTCATAAAAGGGGGTGTAGTCCTCCCCCCACCCCCAGCCATGCTGGATACAGCAAGAAGCCCCTCACCAGATGCCAGCTCCTTAGACTGCTCAGCCACCAGAACTTGCGTAAATTCTGTTCTTTATACTTAGCCAGTTTGTGGTGGTTTGTTACTGCAGCATGGAGAGGACAAGGACACTTGCTCACATATGCATCCCCCATATACTTGGTACTAAGCATGGCAATGGGAAGAGCCTTGTCCTCCACGAATTCCAAATCCTTTGCCATTTGACCTTAGAAGCAATGGAAGATGGTCATTAATTCTTTCAGGCTCTAAAGGGTTCCCTTTAAGGTCAACTAAACAAGAATTTACTGAAATGCTGCAGACAGCGAGCTGATGAATTTCCCAAGGTGCCATCATGGCCATTTAGGAAAGAGCCGGGTTTGGCAAATTACAGGCTCTGCACCTAATTGTCACCCATTCTCACAGACCCCCTTGGTGCTTCTGTCCCCAGCTGAATTCCTCTTAATATTCATGTCAGCACACGGGAGATATATTTGTTATACTGATGAGTCACTGCAGGAAGAACTGGCAGTCTGGCAGCAGCGGAAGCCAATACACCTGACAATTGTACCAATTCTCTCCTCAGACAGACGCGGTTTGGTGACAGACAGCAGGGAGTGATTCATGTTCGGATGCTGAATTACCAGGGAATCTCCACCCAAGGTCTTATCTGGATGGAGAGACCGTTTGAGAGACATCAACCAGATGCACACATATCTTTAAGGTTATTTTAAGAGACAACGGGTATTTGTCCTATTTCTTCAGGAAAAGTGAGCTCTCAGGGTCAAAACTTGTTTCAGATGATACCTAAGATAGAACCTGCATCCTGAGGTCCTGACCAATAGCTCAATCTACTCAAATCATCACAGGGTCTAATTACCACAACATGACTTTACAAAACAAACTGAAAACATTAAAAAATAAACAAATATACAACGTAGCATTTTGGGGGATTACACGGAGGAGTGTGTTAAATGGAGGGACCACAAAGTGTCAAAACTCAAGATTAAGAGCTAACCCTTGGATTAATACTTTAAAGTTGAAGTGATATGTTAGGGGTCCCAGCACCACCTCCTTCCTCCCCACTTGGACTGGCTCCTCTTTTCAGGTACCCCAGAGCCCCATACAGACTGCTATATTCCAAGTGCATCTCACCAAAGCCCTCATGGAGTTGGTTGACAAAATCTTCAGAGAAAACTTTCCTATCCTTTGTCATTCATCCTGGTCCGAGGTGGGGGCCTCCCAGCCCTCAATGAGAGGGGATGGAGACATTTCTGTGGCCACCTTTACTGTCATTTTGACCTAAGGAACATTCACATAGGATAACGGCACCAAGGGGTCAGGGTACATAGAGAGCTCTGAGATGCAGATGCCATCTGAGATGCTGATACTCTTTTCCCCATGCCTGCTACGAGGATTTTCAAGCCAGGTGTGAGGAAACTTTACAGACACTGTAGTTAAATCACTGGGGCAGGCTCGGAGCTTTTGAAGAGGGGCTATGGTAGGTGGTCCTTGAGCTGCTTCTCTTCCAGGACAGTGCTGAGAAGTCAACAGAATGGATGCTCAGAGTGTGGACATGCCTATCTCAAAATCCCATTCTTAAAACGCTGGAAGTTTGGATTCATGGCAGCTACAGAGTAAGAGAAGGGGTGGCAAAGGCATCATTTTCATCCCCACCCAAGACCCTGTGATACCTTCGTTTTCCTCCAGCTTCCGGATGTGGCGCAGGACGGGCTGCAGATTCATGTAGAGGCGGTGGCTGTTGCTCAGAAGCTGCAGGAGGTGTCTGGAGCGCGTGGGGCATCCCGTGTAGTATATGAGCTTCCTGGCAGAGGGCAAGCCATCTGGCAAGATCTCGAACTTCTTACCCTGTGGCGAAAAGCATGAATCAAATTAAAGGGGAAAAAAAAAATCCCTGATTTTCTAAGGTCTCCTTCATTTTCCACTTAGTAAGGAAAACTACAGATTGAGAAGTAGATGTATAAAGTTCCATTTAAGATTCCCTAAGGGATAAATTACTGTTTTTCCCTCTCCAAAATGTCACAGCACAGAGTGTTACCACTAATTCAGGGAAGTATCTAGCAGTGGCCTCCGGGAAACAGACTAGATGAGACAGCTGGGGGACATCTTCAGTTTCTCTGCGGGGTCAGGCTACTTGCATAATGGAGAAATGAGCCCCAAATGAAAGCATCCTCAGATTTAACCCCAGCACCCCAACTCAGCAAGCAAGAAGGCAAATTCTAGAAGAGATGAATGCATTTAAATATTTATCAAACACTTACATATATGTACCGAACACTGTGCTGGACACTGAAAACGTAATAAAGAACACAAGGTCCTTATCCTCATGGAGCTATGTCTCAGTGAGAAAGAGGGTAAATAAACACATAAAATAACAGATCATGGTAAATGCCAGGAAGGAAAGAAGTTATAACAGTGAGCAATACCCGGTCCCTATTTTGGGATAAGAAAAAACAAAAAATTCCTCTAACTTGACAAAAGTGGGCACTGGCAGCTGGAGAAGATGTGAAAGAGCAAGACCAGTGATCGGTGATGACACAAGAAATCTCATCCTTTAAGTCTGGGATCATTCACATAAAATTCCAGGGAGAGGGTCAAAGCGACTATTATATTGGGTCTTATGAATTCCTTAAACTTTCCTAATAATGAACTGGACAAAGCCCTTCAGACAGGCTGCTTCTCTCGGCTGGGAGGCAGGGATAGAGGTGTGTTCCACCACATATCTCAGTCAATGCAAGCAATGTGCAGCCCAGGCAAGGAGACAATTTTTGTTTTCAATTAAACCTTTGGGTTTTTTATTGTAAAGGAACTACTAGTGAATCCCAATGCTGGGACAGGAATAACTGACATTTAGTGAACACTAACCACGTATAAACTCATTGAATCCTCCTAAGCCTATGGAGAAGGGTCCATTGTTACCATTTTAGAATGAAACCAGGGCAAAGGGAGGCTGAGTCATTTGCTCAAGGTCACATAGCTGGGCATGTCTGGGTTGCCTGCAAGAAGAATCACCTGGGGAACTTGTCAAAATATACTCCCAGTTTCCATCCTAGACCCCCAAATCAAAAATCTTAGGGGAGGAGGATAAGGCCCAGAAATCTGTTATCTTTTTTTTTCTTTTTACTTTGTGAAAAAATAAAACATTTTCATAACCAAGTAACAATAGTTACTACCCTGTGTATAGTTATCTTCAAAGTACTCAGTACAAGACAGAAACCAAAAAGATTACAAAAAAGAAACATAACACAAACTTCCTTTTCAGTGAATTAAGATACACCCTTAGTATAAATGAAACAAATTAGCATATATATTGACTAGTTTAAAAACAATGGAGTACGTAATTTAAGGAAGCATTTCAACTTCTCCCTTCTTCCTTTCTCTCTTATTTTGCTTGCTCTCACTCTTTCTTGCATGCTCTGCATGTGTGTATAGTTTCTTTCATATAAGAGAAACTATGCAATATTTGAACTTGTGTGTCTATTTTACTTAACATTATGTTCTCAAATTGAACCCATTTACCTATGAATGCTTCAGGTTTAACTTTATGGCAGCATTACATTCCATTGTGTATAAATACCACATTTTCTTTATCCATTCATCTGTTGATGAACATACACGTTGTTTCCAAGATCTAGCTATTATAAATTGTGCTGCTGGGCCGAGGATTTAGCTCAGTGGTTTCGCTGCCTGCTGTGCAAGCGCAAGGACCTGAGTTCGGCCCCTGGTACCAAAAAAAATAATAAATTGTGCTGCTATCAACACAGGTATACACATATCCTTGTAATATGATGAGTTTAACTCTTCTGGGAAGATAGTTAGGGTGTGGATAGCTGAGTCAAATGGAATTACAACTGTTAGTTTTTTGAGGAATGATTTCCATAGTGGTTGTACCAGTTTATATTCCCTGCAACAATGTAGTAGAGTTCCTTTTCACCCCACATTCTCACTAGCATTTGTTATTATTAGATTTTTTTGATAGCCATTCATTTTGGGGTAAGATGGCATCTCAATGTTGTTCTAATTACATTTTTCTGATGGCCGGTGATGATGAGCATTTGTCCATGTATTTATGGGCCATTTGTATTTCTGAGAAGTGCCTGCTCATCTCTGTTGCCCATTATTTGAATGAGTTTACTTTTGGGGGGCGTGTCTAAATTTGAGTTCTTTATATATTCTTGATCTTCGTCCTGTTTGTAGAATAGCTGGCCTAAGTACTTTCCCAGTGTAGGTTGTCTCTTCACTCTATTGGTTGTTTCTTTTGCTGTGCAGAAGCTTTTACATTTGGTACTGTCCCATTTGTTGATTTTTCAATACTTCTCATCCCACTGGGGTTCTGTTCATAAAGTCCTTGACTATGCTTATGGAAAGAGTTGTACCTATTTTATTTTCCAGCAGATTGTTTGATTTACATTTAAATCTTTGATCCATTTTGATTTTAGTTGAGTACATGATGAGATATGTGGGTCTAGACTCAGTCTTCTGAATGAGGATATCCAGTTTTCCCAGCACCATTTATTAAAGAGGCCGTCTTTCCTCCAGTGTGTGTTTTTGGCTCCTTTATAAGATCAAATAGCCATATGTTCCTGGAGTTCCTTCTGATTCTTTTGTTCTGTTCCATTGATCCACATGCCTGTTTCTGTGCTATTGCCATGCTGTTTTAATCACTGTAGCTTCTTAGTATAACTTCAAGTCTGAGACTGTGATGCTACCTGCTTTGCTTTCGTTACCCAGGATTGCTTTTGCTATTGAGTCTCTTCTGATCCCATATGAATTTTAGGATTGTTTTCTTTAGCTTTGTGAGAAATGATGTTGCTATTTTGATTAGGATTGCATTAAATCTGTGTATCAGTTTTGGAAGTATAGCCATTTCAATGATGTTGGTTCTGCCTATCCAGGAACAGGGGAAGAGTTTTTCATTTTTTTGATGTCCTGCTTAATTTTCCTTTTCAGTCTGATGTAACTTTCATTGTAGAGGTCTTTCATTTCCTTACATTAATGCCTAAGTATTTAAATTTGTCAATGCTATGATGAATGGCATTTTTTCCTAATTGCTTTTTAAGTGAGTTCACTATTAGTGTATAGGAATACTATTGATTTTTGTTTATTTTGTATTTATTTTGTATCCTGCTATACTGCTGAATTTGGTTATCAATTCTAGGAGTCTTTTGGTGGAGATTCTTGGGTCTTGTCCCCTGCAAATAATGACATTTTGACTTTGTCCTTTCCTATAAACATCCTCTCTTTTACCTGCTCTGGCTAATATTTCAAGGACCATGTTTAACAGGAGTGGTGATAATGGACATCTTTGTCTTGTTCCTGATTTCAGAGAGAAGGCTTTCAGCTATTCCCCATTTAGTACAATGTTGGCAGTAAGTTGGTCCTAAATGGCTTTTATCATGTTAAGATAAAGACATTCTATATCTATTTTTTTCAGAGTTTTTATCATGAATGGATATTAGGTTTTGTCAAAGGCCTTTTCTGCATCTATTGAGATAATCATGTGATTTCTGTCCTTGCTTCTGTTTATGTGATGGATTATATTTGTTTATTTACATATGTTGAACCACTCTTGCATTAGGCCTACTCGGTCATGGTTTATGATCTTTTTGATGATTTGTCCCATTCTGTTTGTCAATAGCTTGTTAAGGATTTTCACAAATATGTTTATTAGACAAATTGGTCTATAATTCTCTTTTGTTTGGTTGGATCCTTGTCTAGTTTTGAGATCAAGATAATGTTAGCCTCCAAGAATGATTCTGGAAATACTCTTTCTCAATTAATTTCATTAAAAAGCCTGAGGAGTATTGGTGTTAGATCTTCCCTAAACTTTTTATAGAATTCAGCTGTAAATCCCTCAGGTCCTAGGGTCTTCTTAGTTGGTAGCTGTTTTTATTACTACTTTAATTTCATTGCCTGTTACTCTATTGTTGATGATTTTTAAGTCTTCTTGATTCACTTTTGGCAATCATCTAAGAATCTCTCCATTCCTTCTGAGTTCTTCAATTATTTGGCATATATGTTTGTGAAGTAGTTGCTAATGATTTTCTGGATTTTCAGCAGTGTCCACTGTGATTTCACCATTTTTATTTTGCATTAATTACTTTAACAAGCTCCTGAGATATGTTGATACATAACAAGATCCAGAAATCACAGAGTCCAAGACCCAAAACCCCTCAATTTCATATATGTATATTACCACTGAATTTGGGCTATAAAAAGGGGATTTGGGGTATGATCTCATTTTTCAACAACTCAGACCCTTTAAAGAGGTTGAACATGAGAGAGCCAGTGATGGGGAGGCAGGGCAAGCGCCACTTGCTGTGACTAAAGTGGAATCAGACCGAACAGGGCCCGAGGGGCTAAGGTACAGGAAGCCCAAAACAGGCGTTTGGACTCTGCGCAAAGCCCGGAGTCAGTGGTGACTTGTGTGTGCAAAGTAGCCCTTTATTTCAAAAGCTGTCTGCCTACAGGAGAGAAGTACACGTCCACAAATCCTTATCTTCCTCCTTTCCTCATGATTTTTTTTCCAGTAATTTCTGAACAAAGCAGAATTATGGTTTTAACGACCACCAGATGTATACATTATGAACTTTAATTCTTTAAACCCTCCAAATAATGGATATAGCTGGCGAAGTAGAGAAACAGCTGGGAAAAATCAAGAATTTGCTCTCACAAAAGAAAGTGTATCATTCTCAATAGTCTAAAAATAAAAGTACTTTTCCTGTTAAATACTGCAGACTTTTCTTTATAATGATGAGCTTTAAATAGTGAGGTATTAATAGAAACATATTTTCTGCCACTCTTTATTCTTTTCTCAAAAGAAATAACTTCCAAAAGAACCAGCCAACCTCTACACTAAGAGTAAGTCACCCTGTGGTTATAGCTTTCTGTTTTCCAATTCCTCTGCTATGTTTTCTTTTCTTAATGATAATTCTGTTTGATGAACTCATCCTGTACTTTTCCCACATTTCTTCTGCAGCTGGAGGAACTTAGAAGGAGCAGACACACAAGGTAAAGTCAGTCAATTGTTTGGCTTTAAGAGTCTGTGATTTTTAAACTCAATATTGATATGAATGACAAAGGTTATAAGAATACAAGAAAGTAAATTTTCTTCAGATTCAAAATTTGAAAAACAACAACTTTTATGCCCAAGACAAAATGTTTTAAAAACAAAACAAGAAAAAACAAACAAACCCAAAATTTACCCAAAAAAACAAAACAAAACTTGTGAGACTTTTAAAGAAAATTAGTTACTTTGAACTTACCACAAATACCAACTTTCCAACATGTGTCCAGGGGAAATCATACAGTAATTGTTTCTCTTCATGATGATTCTGTGAAAATAATTATAATGCATATGGAGTTATGGGACAAATAACATATTCTACGATGGCTTTAACTCTTAGAAAACAAATTCAGTAATTAAAATCTGAAAGAGTTTTCAAACTCTCTTTGGAGAAGTACAGAGAGTAATTAAAAGATTAGTGATAAAATTCTGTAGCACTTGGTTCCTGTGTGACTGCATTAACTGGCTGTTTTAAGGGAATCTTTTCTCTTCTGGCCTATCCATAAATTTAAATAAGAAGTCCAAAAGATTCAGGCATTCCAGAAAGGTGGTAAGAGACTGACTTGCATAATTGGATATTCTGTCTCCATCAAAGATAAGACATCCTTATAGCATCCTAAGTCTTATGAAAAGATATTCTTCCTCCTTGTAGGATAATGGCATCCCATCTGCAAAAGAGTGACAGCTACTGTTTTCCAGGGACAAGTTTTATTACCGAAGTGCAACGGAAATTAAAACACCTAGCCAGGCTCCAGATTAAAATGCCATTTTTCTCTCCACACTTATTAACTGTTTCAGGAGATAAAAGACAATACTGAAAGTCAATGCCACACAAAGAAATGTTAGGGTATTAACGATCTGTTAGTGATATGGTGGTGAAGAATCTGGGGTAATCTCTGGCTTGTTTTCTGTCACAGCGAACTTACTACTGTGTCAAGGATCAGGTTGAGTCACTTCATCCAACCCATGCCATTCACATTTGTGGTAGACAAACAGGAAACAACAACTGCAAACGGACCACTGAACCGATGGCAGGACCACACAGGCACACTCTAAAGGTAAGACATGGTCAATTCTAGTTGGCACTTATTTCTCATTTACCAACCTGAAAAATCTGTATTCCTCGCATAGTCAATCCAAGGCTCAGTGAAGCTTCAATCTCCCTTTTATCCTATAGGGATAAAATTTTATAAAAAGAATATTTTTCTGAATGAATACTTCAGAAATGAATACTTCAGCATCAAAGAAACAAAGAGATTCTGGGACTGGAAAGTATTTGACTTCTAATAACTTTGCTCAAGCATTCCCACATCTACAAGTCTTCCCACATATGCTTAAGAAAACCATTAGCAAGGGCCCAGGATTTAGCTCAGTGGCGCTGCACCTGCCTTGCATGTGCAAGGTCCAGAGTTCAATCCCTAGTAACGAAAAAAAAAAAAAAAAAGAAAATCATAAACATATGCTAAATCAGTAATGGTGCATTATATATTTTGTATCCTTAGAGTTCAAAATGTTAGTGTTTTCACTATGTTATACATACTTCAACTCTGACAATATTCTAAACATGCTATTGAGAACTCTAGGAGGCAAAACTAGTTTTGCTGCTTTTGTATCATTTGATTTTTTTCACCTTCTCTCTTAGGCTTACTCTCTCCTCAGATGTTAGAATATTGAATCTAATTTCATAGTTGTAGTCTAAAATGCATCAGACTTTATATATTTTAAATTGGACTAATCTCACAGCTCCCTGAAATCAAAATTACAGACAAGTGACTAAACAGTTAAGGTTCTCTCATAATGACAGATAATATATTCAGTTAGTTTGAAAATACATATTTTAAGGAAGTTCAATTATGACCTGCCAGTATAATACACATTCTATCAGTTAAACTATAAACTGTAAAAATGAAACTACAACAAACATAAGGAAAAAAATTCTACAATTAAAAATGTACTTTGAAATCTGGCCACATCTTCTATGTACTCATCTGTAACAAGTACATTTAAGGTATGAAGTTCAAAATAAAATAATAAAGTTACTAAATAGCCAAGATATTATCATCATGAGATAGCTCAAAACAATAAATGGATATGTGCACATCACTGTTTAATGCCAGCTTCCTCATGACCACAGGAAGAGATATTTTTAGAGAACGCATCCTCATTTGGCACAAAGAGAAGACACAGCCTATTTTCAATATTTGGACTATTCCTTTCCAACTCATATATTTTTTGTCAGAAAAGCACATATTGTATAAGATTTAAGAAGAGAAACCAATCCATCACTGTTTAAGCTGTGGTCACTTTCCCTTCTGAGGCTGTACTGACTGCTTTCTGAAATAAGACTGTGCTCATAAAAATGCTGGTTGTTCACATATGAGGAATACACTGGTGAGGAAAGGGGCACAAAACAGTTTTTTTCAGAATGCTCCCTGCCCTGTCTATTCTTTTTCCGTTTCATAAGTAACCCTGAAATGAAGCAGATTTAATGGCTGCCTCTTGATTTCTCCAAAAAATGAAAAGTACCCATCAGGTGACAGTATCCATTCAGTCACTTCATTCAGTAACATTTTTATTAAATATCTTGTTTTAACCAGACAAGACTGTCACTTTCTATGTTATATAGAACCACACATTAAGAAAATTTTAAAAATCAATTTTCCCCCAAAAAGACAAATTGGGCATTTTGACCTCACTAAAAGATTACATAATAGAATTCCCTAAAATAGCAAGTTTCCCCAGCAAGTAAAACAAGAAGCAATTAATATTTATCAAGCAGCTGCTAATGTGCCAGGTAGTCCACCTTGTTGTTACTTCAGATTCATTACCTCACTGACTCCTCCCAACCTTTTGGAGTATATAGCATCGCTCCCACTTACTAGACGGCCCATGATTATAGCTATAGTTGCCCAGGACCCCAGTGATCATGAATAGAAACACAGGGCTTGTAAGTAACAACTAATTCCAAAGCCAGAGTCTGTCCAATGTATTATTCATACTTCTAATATAATTGTAAAATATAAGCTGATTTTTAAAAATGTCATTTATTGGCATTTTCTCATGTGAAGTGGGGTGCCACAAATTAAATCTCTTAAGGAGGAAAAAACTGAACTGAGTCTTTTAGGAATTTCCCCACAAAGATTTTATGGACCTTAATTATACCTTTCAAGTCACAGCACTTCTCTTAGGCAGGCGAGGGAGGGAGAAAGAGAAAGAGAGACAGAGACAGAGAGAGAGAGAGAGAGAGAGAGAGAGAGAGCGAGAGACAGACCCATCTGCTGGTCACTTATTAAGTTTTTGGAACCAGTTAGGAAGATTACCCAGCAATACAACCAAATACCGCCCAGTCTCCAATGGTCTAGTTATGCTAATCTGAATATAAAGAAAGGGTGCAGTAGAGATAAGTAGCACAATAACAGTAGTGACAGCAGCAAGCTCTACATCATGCTTAAGGTGTGATGGGCACTGTTTTAGGCACTCTTTATCCACTAAGTCCTTTAGTCTGCCTAAGGAGTAGGTTCCTGTCCCCATTTCATTATGGGGAAACTGAAACACGAAGAGGTTAAGTAACCTGCCTAAGGTCCCATAGGAAGGAGCCAAGCTGGGATTCAATCCCAGGCAGTTAGGCCCAACTGACCATGTTCTTAACCACTTCATCCCATTTGGTTGGGAATTTAGGAGTTCCTGCCAAGGAAGTGCACTTTGGAAAAGGGAAAGGGGTGGGGGAGAGAAGACAAGCAGAGGATAAACCCTATGAGGGCTCCCACTGTTATTTGGGTGTGTGACCTCTCCCCCAGGGTGGAAAAATGAGCCTAGGGATGCACGCAGAGGACTAAGGACTTCAGTGTGAGGAGAGTGCAGAGTGTGGCAGTTTATGCACAGGGGCTTTGTCACCATAAGGCCTGGGCTGAATACGGTTTTACCACTGCCACTTGGTTTTACCACCTTAGGTGAATTACTTAACCTCCTCAGCCTCAGTTTCTTGGTCTGTAAAATAATGATTATAGTTTCATTCTTACAAGTTGTAAAGATTTTTTTTAAAAAAGAAAGAAATACAAAGTGTGCCCAATAAACACAGTATTCTTCTTTAAACATGAGCTGCTGTGATGTTCTTGAGACTGATGGATGCACGGCAGGCGTGGCTTGACTTTGAGCAATATTAGATGTGACTGAGCAGGTAAGCTGCAAATGTTATTCCCCACAGCAGAGAAGCATATTTGGGGCTGAGAAAAAATAACTCTTCCATCCATAGTCAATGAAAAGCCAGATTCACAATTTGTAACCATTTGTTTATCTATTAAAATCATAAAAAAAAAAAAAAGCTCCATCCTGCTTCTAGACCAAAGGAAAACACCGTCGCTTAACACACTGACTTACCAGTGTCTTTAACTGCTCTGTCATGGCTGCTTCCATGTCCTGAAATGATTCAAAATGTTTACCTTTCGCAGTCATTTTGACTTTGGGGAAGAGCCAGGAGCTGTCTGGTGCCACAACCAGTGAATAAGGTGGATGAAGTCACAGTGTAATGTTTTTATGAACCTGGCTGTCCACTGCCTGGCACTCAGCAGCAGCACTCACTGAATTTTTGATTGTATCTCCTACAGACACTCATGAAAGAGAACTTCCAGAACTGCTTCAGAAAGCGGCAAGAAACAAGAACCTAGATATATCATGTACAGGCACAAATTCCCAATGATGAATGTGATCACAATGTATACCTAAAATGTACCAATAAACTTAATGGAAAGAAAAGTGGCAAGAAAGTGGAATAAGTGTGTTCCAAGTGAAGGGGAGTATTTTAAGGGGATTAATAACAATGTCTTTTAATGTACTTCTAAAAATTCAAATAGTCACTGTATATTTTGATCACATCTTTTATGATAATAAAACATTAAAAAGCCTGTTTATTAGCAGGGCTTGCTAGTGCATGCCTGTAATCTCAGCACTCTGGGAAGTTAAGGCAGGAGAATTGTCAAGTTCAAGTCTCGGCAACTTAGGAACTTAGTGAGATATACTGTCTCAATAGTGCATAAAATTTTTTTTAAAGTTCTGGTAGATATAGCTCAGTTTGAAGGGTTTGGGTTCAATACCAAGTACTGGGGAGAAAAAAAGCCTGTTTAAAAAGGAAATCACAATTTTCAAGATGACTAAAACCCTAACTCAGAAGGTGCTTCCCTCAGAACCACAGACATAGGACAGTTTTATACCTTATACAGTCTGTAGTAATGAACGGCGACGTCGTCCAGTCGGACAGCTTCTTTGATATATTTAAGATAGGCCTCGGAAGCAGTCAGTGCAAACTGATCTTTGTGCATGTTTGGAATGTGCTTCAGGATGTAGTCCTTCCCCCTCTTGGAAACAACCTGTTGGGACACAAGGCAGGTGTGCAATGTAGCATTTGTTGGAGGGATGTAAGTACAACTCCCATCCCCAAAATGATGAAAGGGTGAGAGTTTAAAATAGGCCATGCAAACTGGCTAATTTCCACTAGAAAATTCCCATTTTTATTCTCTTTTCACCATCTGTTACGTTACTGACTGAATCAGTTAATACTATAAACTACAAACTCCATTTAGTGGTAATGCTGCACATCTAAAAAGAAAAATGACAAGAAATGAGGAAAAAAGGTTCTTTGGGCTGTAAAGTCACCAAGAAAAATATCCCATGAAAACCTGCATAATTTTGTGCACATAATTTATACATGCAAAATGATTGGTACCCTGAAATATGTCCACTGTCAGCATATCTGCAGGTTCTGGATCCTACTTAATTCTAAAATTATAGCCACACAGTGGGAGAGTCTCAATGCTCATTTGGAGAAGACAGGGGACAGGGAGGAATTCTCTGCAACAGTGCTGCTGAGAGTATGAACCCCAGAAACAGGAGGGGCTATGAGTCAGTAAGGAAGCCATGAACACTGAGGAAAGCTAATAACAACAAAACACAAGAGGATCTTCTTTCTCAGGAAGTGCGATGGGTAATCAGGTGTTTACGTCAGAGGGTGCTGCCTGCTGTTGACTGGGTGGGATGAGACAGTAAGTTGACAACAAATGACTCCACATTTTGGGCACTGGGCCCCTAGAGAGACTGGAAACACAAAGCTAGGACTGTATCGAAGTGAAGTGGACATTTTGAGTTTGAGGAACCTGTGAATAAAGAGCTACCTCAAAGATACAGGGGAAAGAAACAGTTGGGAGTCATCTGCATGTCAGTGGTTGTTAAACGCATGGATCAGATGAAATCTCCCCAGATATGAGTGGTTTAGCACCAAGTGCAGCAGCAAAATTCAGAAAGAGTAGTGAAAGCTGTTCTCTGGATTTGGCAATACTGAGGTCACTGGTGACCTTACAGACAGCACCATGAGTGGACTGGTAGGGAAAGAAGGCTGACGGAAGTGGCCTGAGGAACACACATAGGAAGAAGCAGCTAGAAAGTCAAATGTACAAGCTTTCCTGATAAGGAAGACAAAGGAGGTGGCTCGTCTTTCTCAAGAGTACACAGGTGATACCAAGTTTGATGTGTTCTGACTGAGGAGAGAGTGAGTCTGAGAAGAGGGTGAGGACACAGAAGAGAGAGAAGACATACCAAGACTCACAGGGAAGAGGAGAAAGAAACAGACAATATGGGGGTGAGACAGCTCACGCTGGAACAACCTACATCTTCCCCCTGAAGGAAAGGGGTGGCTCCCGTCTTATGAGGAAAGGACATGGAGTTAGAGTGAGAAGTTGACTTCGATCTGTTTTCTCAGCCCAGGAAAGCTGTGAATGATCTCATGCTTGAAGAGATAATGTTTTTATCTTCAAAGGAGGAAAATATAGCCCCACAAAAGGTGGCTAAGAAGATCACAGCCAAGTATATGCCAAAAGGAGGCTGGCAAACTCAAGTTCTACCACACTGAGGCTGAGGAGTAGTCCCCTTCCCGTCAGGCAGCCACAGACCACGTACCTCAAGACAGCACATGTGCTAGGGTTATCCCTGGACATCATGAACAGTTTTACCAGTCCCAGAACATGTGGGCTCCCATCTCTTGAAGGAGCAGAGACGCGGCCTATGAACTAGAAATATGGTTGAGAAAACACATGCTCGTGAAAGTTTGAAAACGGTGCCTACCCAAGATGGGAAGTAAGCCTCTGGCTCAAAGTATTTTCCATAGTGCTTATTCCTTTTGAAGTTCCCAAGATCAGCCTGCAGGGCAAAGGCTGCCAGCAGGAAGTAGGCCTCCTCTCGGAGCACACACTGAGAATGAAGGACTTGTTTTCTCAGGTGCCAGTAATAATAGTATCTTGCTGCTCTGTCACTAAGGAAATAAAAGAAAGCAAAAGTCACATTCTGGTGGAACAACTCGATGGCATGTAAACAGAACCCAAGTGCTGCTTTCCATCTGGTGACAGGAGCCTGCTTCTGCTCCCTCCCACCTCACTGAAATGGTGGTCACAGCTGGAGCCTGCATCACTCAGGTCACTGGAGCCAGCATGCCAAGTCAGGCTACCTGGGCTGCAAAAATAACCTTTCTTAAAGCTCATCGCATTTGATTTACTCAGAGAAGGGGAAAGGGTCTGAAAAATTCCACTCTAATATGGTAAATATGTCACCGAACATACAGCACATTAGAAGCCTACACATTTGCTGTCTGTTTTGAAATTTCTGCCACAACAACGCTGCACAAGATATAAATGAGAATAATACTAGGGGTAATCTTGGCTTTCATGTTCCATTGTAAATTTTTTTGTTTTGTTTCTTAGCTAAGCACATTACAAATACTCTAAGGCCCTTTAAAAAAATGTTTACTTATATGCCTTCCTGAAAAAAATCTGCTCATCTAGAGTCCTTTTTGTGTTTGTATTTCTGAGAATGAATGAACTGAAAACTGTCCTTAAATCTGTTTTTTGTTTCACATTAAGTGAATGTTACTTTATGGGTGTGTTTTCATAAGCACCTCTCATAACCACTGTGATTGTTCCCTCAAAAATAAATACTCATTGCAAAATCCACTGAGGTCAGAAATACATTCTCCATTAAATACGTTGAGTAAGAAGGGCAGACACTGGCGAAAACCTGGTTAAAGCTTAAAGAAAAGTTCATAGGTAAACAGGATGTGTTTGTGATCAAAGTAAAAATGCAACAAAAAAAATGTGTGCATGTATTTTTGTTTTAATGAGCTTATTTGCCTCCCATTACTGTAAGTTGATAGTTTACCTGAGATTCATAGCTTATCAGTAGATGATAATAAAAACATGGGTTTATTTTAACCAAGTATGAAGAGTTTTACAAATAAAGCATTTATATAATTCCTCTGGGACAGAATACTTTTCAGAGCACATCTTTTCATAATATTGACCACACATCATTTGCACTTGTTCATCCTTGGGGGAAAAGGCAGAAGTCAAGGGATGAATTAAATATTCATTAGCCCCAAGGAGTTAATTAGTAGTTAACTAATAAATTTTCTTTCTTTCCAGGGCATTCCTCACTTAACAGGTAAATTAGATGAAAGATTTATTTTATATAAACAGCATAATAAAGTTTCCTAAGCTTTAAATAAAATTCTTTATGGGCTGTTTTTTGCCTTTAATTTGCATCTGACAGTGATATAAAACACTATCGAGAGCTAATTTGTCATCTAACTCAGTAGACAATGCTTTCTCATTCACATGGACTTCACCAAGGTTGAAAACAAAGGGAAGCACAGAGTTCATGTTTCTTATATTTTTCTCTCAGACGAGAAAAGCACCTCTCAAAGTTTTTCAGCACCGAATCCTCTTATACAAAAGATTAACTGAGCTTTAAAATGGTGAATTCTGAATCTGTATCAAGACCATAGTTCATGAACCCATTTCCAGTAAAAAAGAATCAGTTACCTGCCCTTGTCAAACTGCACCTAAGAGTCCCACAGTAGGTCCATCGGGCTTAATCTTAGTTTTAAACCTATCAGTATGAATAGAAGCAAGACCCCAAATGTGAAAGGAAAACCAGGCTAGTATCAAGACCTGGGCATTTTTGGAGGTGCTGCCCCTGCTCCACTTCCTACGCCATCCACCCCATTCCTGGAATATAATCCTTCAGTTAGTCTCTCCTCTTCACAAAATTGCTAGTTCCTTCTTTATGACTCATTTGTTAGTGAAAAGGTAAAGAAAAAGATAGCTAGTGATGTTGCTAATATTTTCATTCATAATTCAGCATTACCATTTATTTATTCACCAAATGTTTATTCAGTGCCTACTATACCTATGCTTTAGAGATCATGGGTATATGAGTGTGCAGAAAGACTAAAAAGAAAAAAAAAAATTGCTGCAGTCAGGAAGTTTATACTCCCAGAGGCAGAATGTTAGTATGTGGGTGTGCGAGAAGAAGTGCTATGGAGAAACAGAGCTTACAATTTCTCCTTGTCCTGTACCTGATCAATCTGCCATTTTCCACGTAGTATTGCACTCGGAAGTGTATAATCATGGGAGGCCCAAACTGGTCAATACCCTAAAACAAGGACACACACAAAACAAGCTGTTCAAAACAAGTTACTTCAAAAATGAGTTTCAAAAGCCACCGTATTACCACTATTTGCCAAATGCTTTTTCAACAGTGAAGGGCTTTGCCCACTTGTAATGAGCAGGAGCTTGTTTGGGGCAGTTATCCCCTGTGGGTACCAGGTTCCTACAAAACCAGGAAGTTACAAAGCAAAACAGAGCACCATCCCTCTGTCTGATTCCCATTCACAGTAATGCCAACGACAACATACGAGAAGATAAAAATAAATGCCATGGAAATTTCTAGCTGAGATCCCACTCCCCGATCAGCTCTGTCCCCTGTGGTGACCATTTGCTCTTCATTACAAATGTCCCCTTGTTCCCTTGACATTCCACATACCAAATTCTAAAATGCTGTTTGTTTACTCAGGCAGTCAGGCTTCTTACTCTGTAGCTGGCTTTGAAGCTGCCCTCCCTTTTATCCCGGGAATTCTTAAGCACAAACTGGAGGATCTGGGATTAGGTACTGTGACTTTTATTCTGACTTGGGGGGATAGGGGGGCTGATCCTGGAAACTCTATGCAAATTCCTTGTGAATGTTTGCCCACATAAACAGAGTTTATGTTTACTAAATAAGGGCACCAGTACAATAAAGGAACAAAGGATCAAATACACATATAGTAAAAGTAGTATAAAAATTACTAACAAATTCCAGCACAAGTTTTGATAACACAGTCACAAAAGAGAAACAATTTTTTCATTTTTTCTTCAAAATGTTATCTCAAAATTATTTTAAAAGTTATTAACCAATATTATTTATAGACAGCCAAAATATATCATTATATTTAATTTTACATTTTACAATTATAATTCCTTTTCCCAATCTTTACAGAACTGCTTATGATTTTTTTCTAATATACAAAAGTTAAAATAAAACTTTTTTAAAAATTCAAAATAATTTTGCTCATAAATGTAATCTCACCCAAGTGACTTCGTATTGTCGTACCTTGCTGGCCTCTTTCTTCCATTCTTTTGGACAATACTTATAAAGCTTTTGTTGTAATTCCATATACACATGTTCATTATCTGTACAGTAAAAAAAGGAGACAAGACATTAAAGAAAGATACATTTTTTTTTGGTACCTGGGATCTTAACTTGGGTCCCTGCACCTGCAGGACAAGTAGCAGAACCACTGAGCTAAATTCCTGGCCCAAAAAGATACATTTTTAAGAGAATATTCAAGGATACAACTTTAAAAATACCTCAAGATTTAGGAATGCAGTCTGAATTTATACTACCAAGAAAACTCAAGATACTAAAAGATAAAAGGTTCCGTGGACAAACATTAATGAGATTATGAATTATTTTGCTTCTGCAATACAGAACTCATACTATTGATATATAAGGTTTAGAAGAAACATTAGTTTCCAACTCCTGCTTTTTTTTTTCTTCACTTTCTAGGATCATTATAACTTAAGAGTCTAACTTCCAGCACTGTAGAAATTACTTAGTCTTAGAAAAATATGCATCTGTTTAGCTCACCAGACTGCTCTTATAAGTGCAAAATAATGAAACTAGGCAGAAACACCACCTTAGCTGCTGTGTATGAAATTAGGAAACACTGTTGATAGCCCCTTCTACCTCCCACTTTGGTGAAGAATAATCTTTAAGAACATTCATTCTGTTTCCCCACCGCAAAACCCATGACAAAATGATACCTGCACTGCCTTTGGGATCAATCTTGGAGGAAGAAAAAAACCTTCTGAAAAGCAAGTACGAATGTCACAAGTTTCCTTTAAGGGACTGATATTCACAAGATGAGCAGGAAATAAGATTATGTAAAAATTATCTAAATATGAGAACAAGCTGGTTAAAAAACACAAAATTTTTCATTTTTCCTAAAGAGAATCTTGTGGGGTTTTTTTTTTTTTTTTTTAAAGATGTACTTTACAAGAAAAGCCTTCAGCATTCCTATAGTTTTAAACCTTAGTTTTTAAAATGCCAATTCCCAGCACTTGGGAAGCTGAGGTAGGAGGATTGTCATGAGTTCGAGACCAGCCTGGTAGTAAGTTCAAGGCCATCCTGAACTACATAGTGAGACCCTGTCTCAAACAAACAAACAAACAAACAAACAAATAAAAATAAAGGAAGACAGCTTATTTAAAAACAATAATGAAATGCCAATTCCTTTCTCTAACCATCCCTAAAGGGCCATCCTCTTGAAATGTTCTGCACAAAAATATTCCCATTTGAAGGGAGTGCATCTTTGACTACTCCAGGAATAAACAAGCTTGATTACACCACTGACTCCTAGTTGAACACTGCAGTTTGTCTGGGAAAAATCAGAATAAGAAAAGTAAAGCTACTCTTTGGTTATAAGTGGAATATTTAGTCATCTAATTTGAATGAAAAAAGATAAAAGTCCCAGTGACAACAAAAGGGGGATGCCATCGAAATGCAGTTATCAGGTTAGCTCACACTATCGCCTATCTCTCCTTTTCACTGATGAGACATGAAACGGACAAGATCAGACAATGCTCCTTTTTAATCTGATCTGTGTTTGCGCTGAGTTCCCACATGAAGCAGCAACAACATGAATAGAAGTGACACTGCTCGCCAGGATACCACATATAAATTTTTTAACTACCATTATATTTCTACCACCTGACAGTGTGATCAGAGCTTTACGACTAAAGATTCAGGAGATTCCAGATAGTTGAACGCATGGAGGTTGCTAGAGAACAGTGTGCCCAGAGAGGGCACGGAAGCTCTACTCCCCTCCCCTTCACCCAAACCTCGCCTGTCCTCTGCTTCTCCTCATCCGTGTCCTTTGTAATGACATCCGCAACACACTGGTTAAGTGACTGAACAGATAAGCCAGGTGGGTTTCTTACTGAAGAAAGAAGTTATAAATAAAGGAAAAAGGAAGAGCTAAAATGAGTCTCATGAAATTGATTAGAATTATAAGTGTTAGTATGAACTCATGCATAGGAGGAAAAAGATGTGGAGAAATATGTGACATCATCACCCAAAACAGTTAACATCATCACCAAAAAAGACAAATAGATACCATGTGTCTCTTGATATTATACACTGAGAATGGCAAAACACCACTAATCTGGTATTTCTGCCAAAAATATGTATAGCCAGAATTAATCAGGAAGAAACAACAAAAAAACCCAAATTGAAGGACATTCCCAAAGTAACTTGACGGTACTCTTCAAAAATGCCAAGATCATAAAAGACAAAGATTAAGGAACTATGCTAGAATAAAAAAGACCCAATACAAGACAACTGAATGTAACTTATGGTCCTAGATTTTCTTTGCTTATAATAACAACTGGCAAAGTTAGAAGCCATTTAGTAGCATACCAGTGTTGATGTCCTGATTATGATATTTACACTGTGGTTTCATAAGAGAATACAGTGTTCTTGTTTTTAGGAAATATACACTGACGTATGTAAGCAGGCATGTAGAATAGAAGGGATAGTTGTGGTAAAATGTTAGATTCTGAAGAATCTGAGAGAAAGGCATATGGGAAATCTTTGTAGTATTCTTGCAACAAATAACTGAAATTATTTTTCAAAAAGTTCAAAAACTGGGAAAATATTCAGATTCATATTATTTACATATTAGAGAAGAATATTAAAATACTCTATTCTATTATTTATTGTATTTTAAAATGTCAATGTTTGAAATATTCCAGAGATTATACCTTTTGCAATTATTCAACTTACAATGACAATTTTAGGTATCAATCTAAAAATGTATGAGTTTTTAGGGCAGTAAAACCATTATGTATACTAAAAAGGGGCTACCTGCCATTACATATTATGTCCACACCCACAGAACATAAACACCAGCTGTGAGCCCAGGTGTACACTACAGACTTTGAGTGATGACAATGTGTCAGTGGAAGTTCATTGATTATAACACACATGCAATTCTGTGTAGGATGCTGACAAGAAAGTGGTGTGAGTGCAGGGAGTGCATGGGAACTTTCTTTTTTTCTGGTACCTGGAATTGAACTCAGGGCCTTGCATTTGCCAGGCAGGTGCTGCACTGCTGAGCTATATCCCCGGCCCTTTATTGGGGGGCATGGGAACTTTCTATACTTTCTGCTCTGCTTTCTGTGGGCCTAAAACTACTCTTAAAAACTACAGCTCATAAATAAAAAGCACTTAAGCACACATCAATCCTGCAATGCTGGCAGAGCATTAATTTTTACTTGGCTTGTGAAAAAACTGACACTAAGAGAAGTTGAGTGCTGCATCCAAAGCCACACCGACTGTTAGTGGTAGAACCAGGTCATCTGATTCCTCTTCCAGTGTTCTTTCACCACACTACAATCTCTTTTAAGGAGGACATTTAAAAAAACTGTTTTGAGACCTGAGAAAGCTGTAAACTGGTTTTCTTGGACTGGCCTGTTGAACAACAAAGCTCAACAATCTGGTTGCGGTTATTATAAGAAGGATTAACTTTAAGTATAGACTAATAAAGTTACTTATAATCTATAGGGCTTCTGACTGCTCCTGGACTTGTCCTTGGAAGATGACTGATGTAAATATTAACAGCATTTGTGCTTTTCTTGCCTTGACTACCATGGGAAGAAACTGAAGGGCAAATGGCTGATTCACTGGGTCCTGATGTGTTCTGTGGCCTCTCCTAGAAAAGTAATTGAAAATAGCTCCTATTTTAGATGAGGGGAGGCCTGATTTATCAGGTTACCATGACACTTTCCAACCTGCCAGATGTATAGTAGTGACTACATTCTCTAGATATCTTCAACTTTTCAATGTAAACCAATTCCAGCAACAGAAAATAATCCTCACCCAAGTACAAGTATACTTAAATATATTTCACAAAAAATCTTGACAAATGAACAAATATATGAAAGTTTTCTTGGTATATAGAAGACTAAATTAGAGAAATTTCAAAAATATGATTTGAAAGAAAAAAGCTCATAAAAAATGGTCACAGTGGGGTCGGGGATTTAGCTCAGTGGTTCTGCTGCCTGCCTCGCAAGCAGAAGGTCCCGAGTTTGATGCCCGGTACCAAAAAAATTGGTCACAGATAAGTTCTGAGAATTTAACTCTACAGTGTTATGGGAGAGGAAAGCTTATATGAATACTTTCCATGGAAATGTCTTCAAATATAGAATAAAGAAGAAAACGACCCTCTATTTCTAAGCCACTTAGTCTGACTTACAGAGACAGAAAAGAGAAAAACAAAATAAGATTCAATTAACAGATGAGTATTATATTGTGTTGATAGCAAAAGACTTGAATAGAGAAGTTATTTATCTTCAAATTATAACATCAAAAATTATAAAATACATTATAAAAATATTTAGGATATTTTTTTCCTAGCTTCAGCTGTTCCCTGATTTTTTTTTTTTTGGTACTGGGGATCGAACTCGGAACCTCGCACTTATAAGGCAGGGGCTGGAACCACTGAGCTAAATCCCCAGCCCCAGCTGTTCCCTGAATACAAAGAAACAAAACCACTTGGTTCATTAAAATATCAAAGAGCAAACACATTAAAATTCAGATTCCTAAAGAGGAATGAATTTTTAAGTTCAAACTAATAAATACATGATCTAAAACCCTAAATCTTTTAAGAACTACATAGTATTTGTACAAGAAACTAAATACTAGACTAAAAATGAAGATCACTTTATTGTATTTTGACAATCAGAGTTTTATAGCAATATGCTGACTTTAAGTTTATAAAACATCATTTCTTCAGAGATAGTTGGCTAAATTCAACAGATACGGTACTAAGACTTACTTTGTATAACACTGAGTCCAAAGAGATGACAATCCTTTAGCCTGAGCAGGTCACACACTTGGATCAGCAACTGCTGACACAGAATTTTAACCTGTAGAGGAGAAAACGGCACAATTTGACATAACAAGTCTACCTGGTGAGCCACAATTGGGCAATTTAATGCATTGTAAATAGACACTTTGATAGAAGAGCTGACATCAGCAAAATCACTGCTGATTGATGGAAATCACTTTAATCTGTGGCTGTGTTTCAATAATGATTATCACAATATCAATTTTTACAATATGGTAATAAAGTCCCAATACGATGTTGCACAAGACGCATAAATCTTATGAGACACAAACAAGGCTCCCCAATCATGGATATGAAAAATGGGTATTTCAGAAGGTACCTGAAACTGCAATTACTAAAAGTATTCATTTGACAAGCACATTTTCTTTCTTTTAAAAAAATTTTGTTTAAATTGACAAATAAAAATTGTATATATTTACAATGTATAGTATGCTGTTTACATTATGATATATATATACACTATAGAATGGACAAATTATATATGTAATAGCTCACATAGATATCAAATTTTTGTGACTAAAACACTAAAAATCTGATTTCAGCAATTTAAAAGTATACACTATTAACTATAGTCACTATATTGTACAATAAGAGCTCTTCAACTTATTCTTCCTGTGTAACTGAAATTTTGTATCCTTTGACCAACATTTCTCAATCCCTGTCCACTCGTAGGATCTGGTAACTACAACTGTAACTCTGTTCCTATGAGTTACTTTTTGCAAGTTACACATATAAATGAGATTGCATATTAAATATTTGTCTTTCTGCATCTGACATTTCACTTCATATAATGTCCTTCAGGTTCATCCACACTGTTGCAAGTGACAGGATTCCCATCTTTTCCTGGCTGAATAGCACTCCACATTCTGTGTGTGTCATATTTTATCCATTCAACCACTGATGGTCACTTTAGGTTGATCCTGTATCTTAATGTGAGAGTGGAGATGTCTCTTCATCATCATGATTTCATCTTATTTGGACAGGTACCCAAGGAATGGGATTGCTGGATCATACAATAATTCTATACATTTTTGAGGAAGCTCATACTGTATTACAAAACAGCTGCAATAATTTACATTCCCACCAGATTAAGTTCCCTTTTCTCCACTTCTTCAGCAATACTAACTAATCTTTCTCTTTGGATAACAGCCATTCTAACAGGTATGAGGTGATAAATCATTGTGGTTTTAATTTGTATTTCCTTGTTGTTTGGTAATGCTATGTATTTTTTCATATACTTATTGGCCATTTGTATGTCTTCTTTTGAGAAATGCCTATTCAGGGCAATCATCTTTTCAAGAATAATTTTCTTCTCAGTGGTCTAAGCAAAATATTCAGATACTGCAGAATGAGTAACTGCCTAGTTTTTACTTATTTTAATCAATCACTGTTATCATCTAATATCTTTTTTCCTTTTCTGAGTCCTAGTATAATTCAATCATCAAACTATGTTAACTTGGAACTCAAGAATTAAGTTATTCTGAATAATAAAGACAATTTTGATGTTTTTCTAAGTGTTAATGAGGTGATGGGTGAGGGTGGCCTCCTTGAGTTCAGAATCATCAAAGTTTGTTAGAGTTGAAACTGATATTAAGAGACCACTCAGATCAATTTCTTTTATAAAGGTCTGAAATATAACCCAGCTTAAAAATCATGTAGATAGTAATGGCAACATATCTGTGTAATATTTGTATATACGTATATAAAATATGTCCAACATGAATTATAATTTTACCTACAGATGTGTTATTTCTCCTCTCATATATTAGCTTTCTAGTCCTTGTTTCAATGATGTCAATTAGTTCAAATTATTATAAATTCTAAATTAGTTAACTCTGAATTAATGATTTGTATCATACCATAATACGCAACCTCAATTAAGAAAATAAAACCATGTAAAAATCCCTTAAAGCTGAAAGCCAAACAATTCAGAACTAATAATAATTCCAGTCATAGTGGGAAAGATGGGTTTACTGCTCTTTTCCACATTCATTACCAACTGGCAACCAACCTGAAGCACCTCACCCACTGCAAAGACCGAAAGAGATTTAGGGTCAGAGCAGCACATACACAGCTGCTTAAGAAGTACCAGGGACTCAATGAAGCAAAGACTGTGTCCTATTTTATATTCAGGATATATAGTATGCACTTAGTACATGTCTGATGAGTGATTCTTTGTGGGTTCCTCCATACCTTCTTTCTGTACCATGACTACAAACTTCTCCCTAACTTGCTGAGGAAAACATTTTATAAACGTTCCATTTAGCATCTTAGGGAAAATATAGCAATGGAATCCCACCAACACCACTGGGTGAACACATTTGCTCATGAGAAATCGTTATTAACCTTATGTACGGCTACCTTGATTCAACTCACTTGAGATCTTTGATTTGTTAAAAAAAAGTCCTATTAAGTTATTCCCAACATTCACTAAAAAGACTCTGGATTTTAAATTCCATGTTACCATAAATCTAGCTTATAAATAAACTTAAATAAACAAAATGATTGGGCCGGGGATTTAGCTCAGTGGTTTTGCCGCCTGCTTTGCAACCGCAAGGACCTGAGTTCCATCCCCAGTACCAAAAAAAAAAAAAAAATGATAGAAAACAGGTAAAAATATCACATCATAGACAAGTCTTAAATTGAAACAAATACTACAAATTTGAAACTGAAAATGTCATATTATTCTAGAGTACTTTTAATCCTGAATTTTGACTACACTCAATCCTTAGTTTGACCCACTTGGACACAAAGCAAGCAGAATAAAATGCAACAACAGTTAAAACTCCAAACCACAAGCTAATTGCATATAAAGCAAACTTGTAACTTTGTGTGACTCTTGACCAAATAATGTTGTACATTTCTTCCATGTAGCCCATATAATTATTGTTCCACTAGTTTAAATCAAGCATTTTGAGCCTACCGATAAAGCTCTTTAACAACCACCAAGTAAGTATAGTGTTCTTCTTTAAAAACTATAATTAAATAAGGATGTGGCTTTAAAGTCTTACCTGCTGAGAAAACAAGCTTGAGCTTTCTGTATTTGCATAGTATGAGTCTTTAAAGCTACATTTTAACTGATTGTGAAATTTCTCCACTTCTTTAATCTTCAGAAGCAATGGGAAATTTAAACAATGCTACACAGTATGAAGTATTAACAGTAAGAGTTAAAGCTTTTTCTAAAAATGCACTCTGTGAAACTTTAAAACATTTAGTCCTAAAAGTGTCAATGGCTTATTATTGAGCAAGAATGTTTGAAACATTTTATAGAAAAAATGAATTGTTCACTCTAGTCGTAGTGAAGATGTATAAATTCTTGGTAATAATTTCTTTCACTCAAAACTTTATGGTTCTTTTACTTACCATGACTTTATTTCCAAATTTTACAAATGTCCGTATTTATTATTTGCCTATTGAATAATGTCATTTAAAATAGCCCCTCTGAGTATAACTCATGGAGATTTCAAAATGACTAAAACACTAAATCTATTCCACATGGAGAAAGGCAACATTCTATCAATTATACTTATCAGGGAACAAATTTTCTCTGCTTAAAAGAAATGTAAAAATTTTCTCTGCTTAAAAGAAATGTAGAAATGATGAAAACAGATTGTGGGTGAAACAGTTTTTGCTATAATTTGTTACACTAAACTCCGCAAACACCAGTTGCCATTTTCTAAATAAAAAGATGATACTTTGTAGAAAGAATGACTGGCAGCCTTGACTTCTTTTTTTTAGCCGTGGGAAAGGCTCCACTGGACTGTCCCTGCTTGGGTCAAAGTGCTGCTGGAGAGGGGCTTGGGCGCAGCATAAGAGTCTACACGCCTTGGGATGAGAAGTGGTGTAGGTCTATGTGGGGTCCAGACTCTTGGTTTCAGTGACAGAGCATGCTAGTGGAAGGACAAAGCTCAAAGAAATAAAGTAAAATGCTACTCTACGAGGACCTCACTGAGCACTCCCATGCATCAGGCACTACCTTGAGCTATGCAGCTAACACTCTTAAATCCTTGCAATGTTCCTGTGAAGGGCATATTAGCCTCACTTCACAGATGAGGAAACCACGCCAAACTCTTAGGAAAAATATTCCAAACTTCAAAGTAAGTTGCGGCATGGGAATTGCAACCCAGGTCTCGGTGACTCTAAAACTCACCTTATTCATATATAGGGCTTCACGGTTCATGATCACACTTCTGACTACCTTACAAAAGTTATTACATTAATTTTGCAAAAGGGGGAACTTGGAAGTATAAAATTTATTTCTGCTTATGACTTAAAATACAGGTTGAGTAACCCATATCCAAAATACTTGGGAACAGAAGTGTTTCAGATTTCAAAGCTTTTTAGATTCTGAAAATTTTGCATAGAGTTAACTCATTGAACATGCCTAATCCAAATGTACAGACTTTCAGATTTTGGACTTTTGGACAAGGTTGCTCAACCTGTAATAACATCAGCTACCATCTATGTGCCAGAAATTGTGCTTGGTGCTAACCCTGAATTCTCACTATATCTTGTACCTGAGGCATTATTCTTACTCTACAGGTAAAGATGCTGAGGTTGAGGGAGGCTTAATGAACTTTCTAAAACTCATTCAGTCATGAGATTTGATTCAGTCTGCATTTTTTAAGTATGTCCAAGTCTTTCATGAAGGCAGAAAGGAAGGCAATACAAATTGAGAACCTACTAAACACTGGGTTCTAGGAAAGTTGCTTTTACAAGTGAAAAACACAGTAAGCTTAAGCAACTTGTCCTAAGTTCACAAATCTAGTATACAGTTAAAATATGAATAATCTTAGAACATTTCTTAACAATGGTGGTATTATTACTAATAACAACCATTTACTTTGTGCTTTTTATGCATCGTCTGCTGCCTGAAGGGCTTGGCCACTGAGAATGTCAAAAGCACAGTCCGGTAAATGGAGTTCTGGAGAGTGAAGGGATCTGGGTGGTGCTGGGATATACGTCTGTGTCTGACTGGCTGAAGACTTTACAGTATCCACAGGCCCTGTTTAGTAATCTTGTTAAATGCAGATTCCTACGTCCTATCCTAGACTTCCTATGTCATCATTTTCAAGAGTAAAACCCAGTAATTCAAATATCTAGCAAGCTCTCCCAAATAACTGTATGTATATTCAAGGTTCAAAACCACAGATCTATGGGAATAAGTGAAGTGGTTACTTTCTAATCTGTTCTTTAATAGATTCTAGTATAACTTTCTTTGGCAATTATAGTCACCTCCTATTCTTCACTAAGTCAGATCAGTCTTCTCCACTTAACTGTAGTCAATCAGGTTTTTGTTCTATAGCTTATATGTATGGGTGTACATACACACACAAAGACACATACACGTATTTCACTGGGTAAAAAGATAGAAACAGAAGTGAGATAAGTTTCTTAAATGCTTATGCTATATGTCCTCATTTATGTATATTTTTACAATTTAAAAAATATCTTTAATGTAACTATAAAAAAACTCAGCATAATCATGTGTACAGAATTGTATTTTCAATGTATTTTGCCAAGGCCTACATTGAAATGTTGCCAATTTTTATTAATAAGATTTTTCTAAATGCTGTAAAAATAATAGCTTATCACTTCACACATCCAAAAGCAAGTACCCTAAGTAGGAATGTAACTCATTACTAGACATTCTGTCCAACAATCGATAAAATCCACCCAATAAGCAGAGTAGATAATCAGATAATCACCATGGGCAAACACAAGGTTACATGAGATAATCAAGAAACTGTATTGATTGTTAGAATAAAACTAATATTATGGTTATAAGCAGAACATTTTCTATCTAAGCTTTTTAATGATGCTATTTAAATGTCATATAAGCTCATATAACATTTAGCAAAAATTCTTTTATCCAGCAACTGAATTAAAAATATAGTAGTGTATACAAGGAAGGAAAAACTACTTAAAGACATTCCTCTGAGGCAAATTTTCCCCTTGCATTCCATTAGAATACAATTTAGTGGAAAAAAGAATATAGAAGTTGGTAGTGAGGAGAGGTGCTGAAAATTGCTAGGTATGATACTGATTGTCAAAAATTATTTGGCATTCTCTACTAAGGGTTACTACTGGTAACCCTATAATCCACATGTCCAATTGGGAATTGAAACAGAAATGTGTGCATAGATATTTTTTTCACAATTTTATTCATAATAGTCCAAAACTTAAAATACTTAAGTATTTTAAAACACTTGTCTATCAACAATAGATGGATAACTAAATTAGGCATGTTAATACCATGGAATATTAAATACTAATGAAAAGAAAATTTACTGTCATGTGCAGTACCATGGATGAACTTCAGAGGCCAAATGCTGAGGGAAAGAAGACAGATGCAAGGAGAACATATGACATAATTTCAGCCACATGCAGGTCAGAAACAAGCAAAATTACTCTCTATTGAGAGGGCAGTTGTGACCTTTTGGGCAAAGGCTACTGAATAGGGTGCTGAAAATTGATATCTCAAGTTGGGGCCATGGTTACCTGGGTGTACACACCAGCAAAAATTCATTAAGCTGTGCATTGAGACTTCTACACTTTGTAGTACGTAAATTATGAGTCATTTTTAAAGTCAAAAAGGGATCATGTTCTTTAATGTCCAAGTTAATTTAACAAGTGGCCTCTGACTCATGAACCATCAGTAACAACCCCATGCTCAAAAGTGCTGAAATTGGTTAGATTTCAGCTATTATTTAAAAATAACCAAGGTGCATATTAAAAGCTAGCAATTACTACCATTTCTGTGTGTGAATGACAACTATAAGCATTTAAAACATAAATTTAGAGATCAATAAAAATTATATTCAAATAAAAAGTTTAAAATAGCAAGTGCATGTTTTTAATTTGGTAATCAAAATTCTCTAATTTTACCCCAGGCAAGACAATGCTGAAGGCAGCTATATTTAACCCATCAAGCTAAGTTTATGCCTGTACAGACTAACAGCTCAATTCTGCCATATTATTACTGTTGATTCTGTAAGGATTTTGGCTGAAAGCAATAGTAGCTCGAAAGTGGTCACTGGAGGGAATGCATTACTTAGACATTTCTAAAATGGGTGTACTCACATTTATGATGATATTCAGAGACTCATCATTGGGAAGGAAAATACACACACTACGGCGGTCTTGCATGACTCTGTTGTTATGGAAGTTCAATTTGTTCATTGTGTTGTGGGCTCACTAATGGTCAGGGCTGGGCTCTGAGTCCTCAGCAGCTGCTCAGGTTCCCAGCACTCCAATGCCAAACTCTTCTCATCACATACCCAACAGGAGAAGCATCCTGCTGTTTTAACTATGTAGCTTTCATAGCTGTAAAAAAAAGGACCAAAGGTAGGGCTGTGAATAAAATGGTGATTGTTAAGGACAGAGACAGGGAGGTGAGCAGAGCCCAGCTACTCTTGTGGGTACAGGGACAGGATGTTCCAAGCCACAGCTGCCTACTTCAATATACTGGAACTTGCTGAAATGCATTCTGTATGTGTTTGTCCCACTGACAACTGACTTAGAACTTGGATTCATAGTCATGAACTAAACTTAAAGCCAGGGACAGCTTCACACATCCTGAGGCAGTACTGTGCACTGTAAAGCTCATGGAAATAGATATCTTGCTTTTGAAGAGTCTCCAATTTCACTGGGGAGATAACTAAGGGCTCTGAAATAAACAAATGATAAGAAAAGCAGCAGCACCAAATTCTTTCTCTGCCATTACTACCAAACTCAAATAAATGTCTTGGCTCTTACATCATCACATTCATTCTTTAGCTACTATGGTCTGGCTTCCACTTCCTTTGCTTTACCAATTCTCTCTGTAAAGGAAGCTAGTAATCTCTGACTATCAGTGGTATCCATAGGATTCACTTTGATCAATTTCTATACAGTATTTTCCATAGTTATTAATCTTTCCTTTCAACTTTCTTCTGGTTTTATGGTGCTGGTCTTTCCTGATTCTCTAACCTCATAATGCAAACTTAATTTTTCTGTTTATTACTTCAGTAACCACTTAATAAGTAAAAGAACAATGAATTTTGGATATCTTGTATTGAATCAGCTTCCCTAACAGTTTTATTTTTCAAATTTATCTTAGGTTTTGATATACCGAATTTTATTTGCAAATAATGGAAAATTTATCTCCAACTTTCAAGTCACACTTTTCATTTCTCCTTTATGTTTCAGTGCGTTGATAAGACCCTGTAGGATAATTTTGAAGAAGTGGCAAAGTTTCCTAATTTCAATGAGTTATAATTAATAGAAAGTATTCAAGCAAGATAAGTTACAACTAGTTGTCTCTAAAATCATAGATATTTATATTATTCATTTCTGGCTATATTTGTAGGATGCAGAAGAGAAATTCTAGGAATATAGAACCGTTTCGCTAGGCAGACAGGATATAGTTTTCACCGAAGAGCTATGAAGCAAAGCACAAATGAGATCGGATCTTGTCCTATTTGCTTCTTAAAGTGCAATTTTCATCTGTTAGCAGAGGGAGGAAGAGGATATATTCTTAGATACCATAAGTAGTAAATATAATCCAGCATTTCTTTTTAATTAGAAATAAAGTACCATTTACAAGAGAATTACTTCAAACTAAATAAAAACAAATGTTAATCTTTTATATGGTATTTCCCTATTAGAAAGGGGCCCAGGAGTCCATTTAGGAGAAGTCCATTTATCTTTCACATGCAGTTACAGCCAGCAAACATCACCTCACAGAGTCACCAGAGGTCAGTGCTACACTGCTGTCCAGTATGGTGGTCAACCCACATGTTCTAGGTGCACAAACCAACTGCACCCCAAATCGAATGACTCACTTAGAAAATGTTAGTCTAACAGTCCCAAAGCACCAATTGGAGAACAACTGTAGGCTGAATCAGAATCACCTGGGTCTTTGTAATAAATGCAGAATCCTGAGCACAGTGACATTTCTACTCAGAGCCCGGTAATTCTTTTTTAGGGGGGGCGGGGGGTACCAGGGATCGAACTCAGGACCTTGTGCTTGCAAGGCAGGCAGCAGTGCCACTGAGCTAAATCCCCAGCCCAGGGCCCGGTACTTCTAATGCGCAGCCACACATAGAAACTACTGTGTTATAGTTAGTGGAAGGTACAGGTACTAAGTGGAGTGTTGGGTACAACAACTTTAGGGTACACATTTCAAACCATGATGGAGATAAGAACTGGGAATAAGCAACTTTTATGAGTGGCATCAAATCATCACTATAATGAAAAACAATGTCTCAACATGTCAAAGGCATAAATCCCTAAAACCAGTCAATTTTGTACACTGAGAATATTTTCTTGAAAACTGGTGGCCTAGGAATGAGTAAGTTTGCAAAGTACTGCATCTTACTTATCCCCTTTCTTAGAAATTCAGAAAGAAATAAAAGCTCTGAAAAGTCCTGCAGGCAACTTCTTACATTGAATTCAGTATCTTTCAAACTTACTCAAACATGCAATACTTTCCCTCCATAGTATATCTATTAAGGTAGCAGAAAATATTCATAGGCATAATTTGAGAAATGCAGTTTTATAATGATTTCCTTGTCAAATATGTTTTCCATGGCAAAATCTTCTATGTGTATTGGTGTATTCTAATACACAGGCCTCCTTCACATAAAACCTTTTCAAGAAGAAATTATAAGCTCCAATTAAATGCACCTTATTTAAATCAAACCCCTAAATCATATTAATCCCAGTATAATTCTTCTTATTTAATTCTATGCTTTAAATTGAGTTAGTTCTAACTTTTCCATTTCTAATTAACCCATTTAGAGTATTTCTACTGATCTGCTTTTTAGAATTTAAATGCGAAACTAGGAAAAAATATCATCTGTGGTTTGAGTTTTTTCAAGAGCTTCATTAAAATAACTTGGAAATTTCATTTGGGTACAATTTCTATTTTATGATTCAAACGTGTAGTAAAAATGACAATTGAAAGAGGATTATTGAAATGAATTTCATAAAAGCAGAGTTTAGAAGAAGCAGAGCAGCTTCACTGCTGCTTTTTCTGCTTACAGGGTGGCAAACTGGAAGAGCTCTAAAAAAAGACAGCATTTAGTTTTTACTTCACCCAAGACAGCATTAAAACTAATTAAAAGGTTCCATTGAAACAGCAAAATAATCATATCTCGACACACAAGTATCCAATTTAATCTTAAATTGGGAAGTTCTGAGGAAAAGAAATGGACTAAATTTGTATCAGTTTGAATCGTAGAATTAGCCTCTCAATCACTGTTCTATATCCTTAAATTAAGTCCCAATCCAGCCCCAGGAGGACACATTTCTGATTTCAGAGCAACCCTTTCTTTTTTTTCCCGTTCAGTTTATTGCTACATTTTAGGAATACATTATGAGCACATTCAACATTGGAAATTTGTACCTGTACATGATATATCTTGGTTCTTGTTTTTTCCCCATTTCCTTCCCTCCCTTCCACCCCTCCACCCCTATTTACAAAAACTTTGTTTCTATTTTTTCCTTCTTTTCTCATATTGTTTTATTTCCCTTCTTTCCTCCCTCCCTCCCACTTTCCACTCCCCATTGGTCCTTTTCTTCCTATTTGACATTATCTATTGTACATTTTGGTCTTCATTTACACTTTCGGGTTCTCACACCAGAGAAACAATTTGGTATTTACACATATGTCCTATTTATTTCATTTAAGAGTATGGCCTTCTATTCAACAATTTTGTGAGTGATTATCCATGGATAAACCATGTAGTAGTAACATATTTCCAAGGCAATAACAGATCAGCCAACAATGTGATCAAGTCCCACCCTGCCATCCAACTTACAAAGAAAATATACTCCCCTTTGAATTTTCGCCCAGATATTATACTCTCGTTTTGGATGGAAGCAAAAGAGGGTTCTCAATTCTGGGATTAATTCCCTAAAAAGGGGGGGAAGTTATTATTTGCTAAGATTATGTTAAGGCAAGCATGATTAGGTAGGCACATATCAACAGTCAATATGATACCTTTATTACCTAACAAAAACAAGACAAAAATATTGGAAAACTGGATTGCAGAGAGCCCTATCATCCAATTTAATCATCACACATTTATAAGCTTATATTATACATACAGTACTATAATATTTATTTGCTGAAAAGCATCACTGGTATTTGGTATTGTGTCTGATTCCTAAGAGCACACACACTGATTGGCAACTACCACATCAAACTCAAGGAGAGATATAAAGGATAACAGCATTAAATGTACGAATTCTGTACCACAACACTGTGGTAAAGATAATTTTGGGATAAATAGTATAATACCTTTAATGCATGGTTTCCTGTCCTAAGTGATGAAAATATCTTTGGTAAAATGATTTTCATTTGTAGTTGTTCATTATATATTCATTAGTATAAAACTCATATATTAAATACTATGTGTCAAGTGTTGTAAGTGCAAAGGATATGGCACTAAATAATGTTGCTCAAATAGAGAAAGACAATAAAGTTGATAATGATATGCACTACAAAGAAAAGTAAGTCCAGAGTAGGTGAGAGAGTTGATAGAGATACGGTAGTGGTGTAGATGCTGCACTATATAGGATAATCAAGGGAAGCTATTTTGATGGGTTGATATTTGGGTGGATGCCTGAATCAAGAGAGATGTCATTTCCTTCCTTCTTTTCATCAATTCAGCTATCCAATTCAGAGAAGAATTTTGTAGGCAGAGAGAATGCTAAATGCCAAGAACTGCATTGCTCTGAAAGGTAAACTGATGGTACTAATAATAGCTACATTACCACACACTTAACTGTGTGCCAGCTACTGTTACGTATCGTATTTCCAAGAAACCTACAAACTCTGTCATGCTTCCCACAGAGAGGTAAGATCTATTTTCTCTCTCCTCCAATCTGGGCTGGACCTATGGTCAACTCATGCTCAATCAAAAGTTTTGCCTCATGGATAACCTACTTATGCAAATATGCTTCGTCTCTTATTCCACAGTGCTATCTCTGCAGGAACACTTGGTTTAGGAGCTTGAAATGGTTACTTACCTTGTCTGCCTCCTTTACTATGGCAAAGCCACTCTACTATGGCAGTCTCTGCTATGGCAAAGTCAATGTTATTATTATTTAATCCTCAATGCTAAGTATACGGTGTATTCTCATTAAATGTTGGTTGTCTTACTACATATGTCCTTGGTCAGTGGAGATTCTGCAGTAGGCTTTCTTAGTCTTGAGATTACTGTCATTTTGAGCCAAATATTCTGTTACTAGGGGGCTGTCCTGTGCATTGTAGGATGGCCCACAGCATCCCTGGCCTCTACCTGCTAAATGCCAAGAGGCCTCTCCTGGCAGTATGA